ATCTATCCTTACGGAATCCTACCTGTTGGTCACGAAGTTGGGCGTCTACACAGTCCTTCATCTTGTTTAACAATACCCTGTTGAAGACTTTTCCCGGTATTGAGAAAGGAGTGATGCCCCTGTAGTTATCACACTTGCTGAGATCCCCTTTCTTCGGTATTTTGATCAGGAGTCCTTCTTTCCAGTCTTTTGGTACTTGTTCCTCATCCCAAATCTTATTGAAGAGAATGTGGAGTATCCTTGCAGTTGCCGCTACGTCTGCTTTCAGTGCCTCTGCTGGAATGTTGTCCGGTCCTGCTGCTTTGCCACTCCTGATTTGTCTGATGGCCATGCTGATTTCTTCAATTTTTGGTGGGCCAACATTGATTGGGAGGTCCGTGGGTGCTGCTTCGATGTTGGGTGGGTTCAGTGGAGCTGGTCGATTCAAGAGTTCTTTGAAGTGTTCTACCCATCTGTTTTGTTGCTCTTCAATGTTGGTGATTACCTTGCCTTCCTTGCTTTTCGCTGGTCGTTCTGGTTTGCGGCGATTTCCAGAGAGTTTCTTTGTCATGTCATACAATTGTCTCATGTTTCCTTCTCTTGCAGCCTTTTCCGCCGTCGTTGCTAAATCTTCCACATATTTACGTTTGTCGATTCTTATGCCCATCTTCACCTGTTTGTTTACTTCTGTGTATTCAGCTTGTGCCTTGGCTTTTTCTGCTCTTGTTCGACTGGTATTGATTGCTGCCTTCTTGTTCCTCCTTTCTTGAATCTTATCCAGTGTATCAACAGTGATCCATTCCTTGTGATGGCGCTTCTTGTGACCCAGGACCTCATGACATGTTGAAGTGATTGCCTCTTCGATCCCCTTTCAGTTGCTCTCCATAGTAGTTCCTTCTTCATTGAGTAGATCATGAAAGGCTTGGAACTTGTTGCTGAGGTCTATCTTGAATTTGTTGAGTTTGTTAGTATCCTGAAGAAAGTAAAAATAACATCGAGAATAAATAAAAAACAGGCAGATGAGTCTCAAACCAACAACTGTCCGAGTTTCGCTTTTATCAAGCGGAATGTTTTCAGAACAGTGTGCGTTTGTGGAATTATGGTATACTATGATATTAGTACTGCTCTAATAATAGACCTAATCTTAAAATAGTAGATTTGTCATGATATAACTGCCTAATCTATAAGATTGTAGATCACCAACGTAGATGATCTATGTCGAAATGATTCGAGGCCTACTCGAGTTAGACGTGAATAGTGTGACGAACCAACTAACGTCGAAGTCACGCCTCGTGGTCAGCACCTTACGTGGACTACCCCCATTGACGTAACGAGGTACTATAGATGCTTTGAAGACTATACAACACAAAGGACGTTATTACAGAAATATATTAGTTAAAGTAGATACAAGCGAAAGTAAGACCACTGCCGCATGGGCCAGTCCATGGCGTATGATTAAGTAATGCGCGTTGCTTGTACATGACCTTGGCAGGGAGCGATGATCTGTTCGACATTCAGTGATCCAACTGCCGGATGATTTGGCTAGGGCTCAGTGACATTTCACTGGCCCTACAATACTCCCCCACCAGATTCAACGGCCGTTTGAATCGGTACCAAACATGTCGCGCGCCAGAGAGTGCCAAACGAATATTATAAATCCTCCAGGTATTGCTTATCTGTAAAAGAAATGGAAAGGAGGCGGCAGAAACTGGTCGGGAAACAGCGAGTCATAATATGTTAGTAGGACGTTGGTTAAACGTAAAGCGATTAACCATAGAAATAATGAAAAGAACAAAACGTTTTATTGTTCTATCAAGTCGCGCTGAAATGTATAGCCTTGACAAGTAATTCAGTTCCTCCGATGACAAACGTTAAGTCTGCCGCAAGAGTAATGATGCTATAGCGATAGTAGGATAAGTGTATTATCAATCGATATCCATATTTGTACTGTCATTAGTTTAAAGTTGTAAGTCGGACAGTGTCGTTGACAGCTATTAATTAGTGTCAAATTCTAGTTATATCTATATCTAACAGACTAACCGTAAGTACAGAAGTATAACAGTGAAGAGTGGTCGTGATTTCGTTGTGCGAAGCTATTGACCAACTTGTAGTCACAGTTTGAAAAGTCGATGACTGCTGTTACAGTCAGTAAGGGTTGAAGGCTACAAATCCACAGCAAAGGTGGCACGATGAAGTCTCTAAAAGATGATAAACGGTGAATGCTGCGTGTTTGTTCGGTTAGTGAACAGAAAAATATCGAAAAGAACATAAGAAACCAAGAGTGTCACTCTGGACTCATGTCAATGATACTCGTGAGAAACGCTGTCAGTGTTGGGCTAGAGGCGACAATATCGTTTTCAGTTTGCAGGAGATTCGCTCGACTGCATAAACTGATGATTCGCGCGAATGATATTGTCGTCAGACCACCAATTGAACTGGACAGGTTGTAAATCGTCGAGTAGTTGAACAGCCGATTGATGTACCGGAATCATCTGTTAAACAACAGCCACGATGAAACAATACTTCATAAAATGAAGTACGACATCGAAGTAGAACAACTACAATAGTTCAGATGTGTTACAATGTCAAGTCTAAATAACATCGTTCTTACGTATACTGACAGTTGCACTGAACGTTCGCTTAGGTATGATTAGCGTAACAGTTGGATGTGTGAATAAAAACATATACGAAAACTATGGTTGGGTTCGTGGAGAATTTTCGAGGACGTTTAGATATTTTCCAAACCCGTATCGCATGTAAATAAACCGAAAATAGAATTGAAATGACTGTTGTGTAATAAGGAAATCGAGCCATGATTTACCGTGTGAATTATTAGCAAATACAAGGGGTATAATAAACATTAATTAAAATGGTAACCACCAATGTAACTAAGGTTTAGAGGGTCCAGGTAACGTGGCCATTTCGTAAAAGGATGATACAAAGAGCTTATTACCCAGCTTTAAGTGACATATTAAGTACGACAACATGTGTACTTGGGATATGGACTAAGCGTGCTCGTGTACATGCAATATGTTTTACCACAGTATGTCGACTAACGAGTCACAAATGTACATGATTTCGACTAAAACTTGACGGCAGTGACAGAATATATGACTAGTTTACGTGAAAGCAACTACGAAATGTTATCACGCATCATAAATATAGTACGAAATAATCTAATGAAATTATGAAACTCGCCTGGGTTACTCTTGCCTTTAAGTAATGAAGTAGGCAGTAGTTTGAATCTGGATTATGCACGAGGTACTGTTGATTAAATTTTTCGGTTAACACAACGTTGTAGACTGAGTTTGTATAAGTCCAGAATTAATGTAAGCCGAATACATAGCATTACCTGACGAACAGTCTAAACGAGATCTAAGATCGCAGGAAATTTATAGTTCAAACTCACCGTGAATTTCTAGCATTCGTATCCTCTGTTTGGCCATGGAACTCAGCAATTGGAAATTAGGCAGGCAGTGGTAAAAAAAAAGCAGAACATTCTAGTGGATAGTGGTTAAGCAGAAAGATGAATTTATAGTCGATAGTTAATCTTGTCTTATTTATACCGGTGGATAAGGTACAAAGAGATATGCGTTCGTGTTGCCTTGTGGCTATACTCACGAGTGGTTGATATTTTAACAGACATATTACACAGGAGCATTTACATGCTGCTAATGCTTGTTAAAGAACCACGATAGCCGATTATAATCGTAGTTGATTGGTTAGTTCTGTCGATTGAACGAATTATCTAGGTTTAAATGCTAATCAACACTGACATGAAGCAACGAAAGTTCACAGTAACAGATTAACATAGGCGATGATAAAAATGAAAAAGAATAAGTATAGAATACAATAATAAAGATTATAAAGATAGGTTGCGTTATTCGAAGTCTTGCTCACCAGTGTAAATCACCAACGTAGATGATCTATGTCGAAATGATTCGAGGCCTACTCGAGTTAGACGTGAATAGTGTGACGAACCAACTAACGTCGAAGTCACGCCTCGTGGTCAGCACCTTACGTGGACTACCCCCATTGACGTAACGAGGTACTATAGATGCTTTGAAGACTATACAACACAAAGGACGTTATTACAGAAATATATTAGTTAAAGTAGATACAAGCGAAAGTAAGACCACTGCCGCATGGGCCAGTCCATGGCGTATGATTAAGTAATGCGCGTTGCTTGTACATGACCTTGGCAGGGAGCGATGATCTGTTCGACATTCAGTGATCCAACTGCCGGATGATTTGGCTAGGGCTCAGTGACATTTCACTGGCCCTACAAGATCTTACGTGGGAGTCACACCAACTCACTACATTGTAACAACTACCAATACATGATGAAGAACAAGTTTAGGATAGAGAAAGAACAATATATTTAATATGAATAAAAGATATAAGTTAATACTCCACAGAGACCAAGCCTGCATGGTCGAGCCATGTCATTCGATCAACTCCAATCCATTAGAATTCCTTGTTCGCGCCTTCTTCGCGTTAAATATTGAATAACTATTTTCCGAGTAGTTTCATGTTCAGCTTTGACGACTGTGTGGTTATGTTCCAATGCCACTACACGTTCACTTTAAATGAAGCTACATTTATACGCAGTTGACATTTAAACAAACATATTACACATGAACATCTACATAACTGTGTTTCCTGATGCATCATAATAGCTTATTTTACCCATAGCTGATTAGTTATTTGTACCAATCAAATTAGTTAGCTGAAGCAGGATAATATTTCATGGTACAGTAAAACACTGTATACGGGCAATAATTTGCAAAGTTAGACAATAGTGAGCGAAGAATAGCAACACTTACTGAAAGACGATCTGGTTCATATAAATAGAAATGATAGAATCAGTAATTTCGAGCAATATTAGTGGAATGATGCGATTGCCTGACTTGGGTCTATGTTACATATGAAGCTTGATAAATTAGCAGAAACCTGTTTCAACTGTTGTCACAACCTTATTCAAACACAGAGGGAACTAATTTCATGACCAGCTGTTTAAACTGCTTTTCATTAGGTCTCAAGATATGTTTGAACTAGGCGATGACCTCCTACCCTCGCTTAACTCTAATCTAGCTCCAGGCTAGTCTTTCCCTTAATGCTATTAGATACCCGACGAAATCTCATCAAAAATACTGTAGGTTCAATACAAAGATAAAAACAGTACAAAGTTTGGTCACTAGTATAGGTCGAGCCATGTCAACGAGTGATCATTACACGTTGTTTGCCCTTGACCTTGTCGAGTCATTTGAATCCCAGTGACTACAGTGAGTTAAACTGTTTTGATTTTGACTATTACCCTGAAGAAGTCTTGACAAGTTGGCTGGACGAAACGTTTGAATTATTTAAATTTTAATCGCCGGGACTATTTCGAATATAATTTTCACATATATTTGCTCCTAGGTTTCACCGCAAAATCGTCTTAAGCTTGTGTTATTCCTGATTGTTGTTTTCCGTGTTAAATTTAAGTGCTTTGTGTGCTCTTTCTGGCACGGTCACCCAATTTTTGTTCTCTCTCAACCCCTCGCTACTCTCCATCCCTTCTTAGTACAAAGCACCTGGTTAGACTCGAACCACTACAGTGATTCACGGCATGCATAATATCGGCTTCACTTGCAAAATGGCTGGATTTCAGTGACATTTAGATGACCATACAACTGACATATCATAACCCGTATAACATTTAGCAAGTGATTTCAGTTGAAAGTTTGTGAATTTGAATCCTAATGGAGTTCTATGTTTTTGACATCCATTTATTCATCGAGTAAAGCTCAAATCGAGTCCCAAACATTGCTTGGCGACTCGTAACTTCTGAATATATAACCGTGAAGTTAAATCAGTGAAATTGTTTTATTCAGTCTTCAGTAATAAGGTTGGTGTACCTGTGTTAATCCTGACAAATCGCCTTCCAGTGAAGGTCCAGCTTTTTGAAAATATTCACTGATGGGGCTGATGGAACACAGTACTCTAAGTGTAATCTTACATAGGTGGGATATAAAATTCGAAACATTTCCTCGTCAAAGTATTTGAATGCTCGGCGAAATGACCATCACGCACAAAAACCTTTAACAGTAGCTGCTTTGCAATGCGTAGTTGTTTTAAAGTTATGACTTATTATTACTCCTAAGTCTTTATGTTCTTGAACTCGTGGAAGAGATGTACCATCAATGATATAATGGTAACCGCAACCGTGTTCGATGTGCATGAGCAAACTCTTCCTAGAATTGACTTATAAGCCCCAACCCCATGCCCATCAGACTAATTTATGGACGAGCCAGTCAGAAGCGCCTTAGGGATTTCAAGGTTACGGCTCTACCTTCAGCGCTTAATGCTAACGTACGATCGGTTCACAGGGAATTTTGTACAAAACGTGATGATTGAGCGGATATAACAAATAAAACGGCGATACTATAATTTGTGGACGATTCAATCAGGTATAAGATAACAGACCTCGGAATTTGGCGTGAAAACCTTTGACCAATTGCAAAATGGATAATAAAAGCATCAGTAATACTGGTAGCAACCGGATACTACAATATATACGGATGTTTGGAGAGCGTACACACTCTTAAATAGGCTTGTTTATGTGCATCGTGTCGTTATCCACAGGTAGCATTTTGTACACTCAACAACTGGAGTGGACATAAACAATATTGAAGCTATGTGGTCGAGGCTGAAAGAGTTTTTGAGAATTTATCATGGCTCCCGGGGCCGACTATTCTGTAGCCGTATGGATGATTTCCTCTACTGTATGCATTACGATTTTAGAACCTGTAAACCTCTTTCTAACCTTGACAAGTTTTTGAACCACGTATAAGAAGTGTATCCACTTTATTTCCTTGGCTTTGTATAACATATTTTTACCCTATACTGACTGTTTGTTGATTGGCTATTATTTCTCGATGTCACTTAAGATTCGTTCAAAGGTCGTCCATAAATTAGAGTCTCGCCACTAATTTGTCTAAGTCAGCTTGGAGATCAAAATAATCAACCTCACTTCCTATTGTTCTCCAAATTTTGACATCATCTGCAAACAATAATTCATCAACGTAGAGAAGGAAAAGTAGAGGGTCTAAGATGGTGCCTTTGGGAACACCACTTTTGACCGGCTTTCATTCGGATAGCCTTCAATTAACCCTCACTGTCTGCGGTCACATAAGAAGTTTCCTACTCGTTCCTGTACAGCACCTGTTATCTCGAAGCTCGAGATCTTCTGCATAACACCTAAGTGTGAAACCTTATCAAGCGCTTTGCTAAAATCTATCAGTATCACATCGACAGACATACCGTTATCTAAATCTGCTGTCCAATCCTCTCTCACAATAAGTTAGTCAAGCATGACCGCTTGTTACGAAACCCATGTTGCTCGGGAGTTAACAGATTGTGAATAGGACATACATTGAGGAACGTACCCAACTGCGTCAAAAGGCCTCACTTGGAATCCTCAAGGCCAAAGGAGAAGAGGAGTTCCAAAGAACACATTACGCCAAGAAATGGAGAGAGACATGAGAAGAATGAACAACATTTGGATACAACTAGAAAGGAAGGCCCAGGACAGGATGGGTTGGAGAATGCTGGTCGGCAGCCTATGCTCCATTGGGAGTAACAGGAGTAAGTAAGAGTTAGGAATAGGGTATTAGGTAACGATGACAAATCGATTGATGAGGTAGTAAATCTTTATCAAGTGAGATGGTTGAAGCATGTGTTACGTATGTAGGTGTAGGAGTAGGCTGGAAGAAAACCAGGGGCGGCCAAATCAAGACAGCATCAGTCCATGAAGTCATTGACATCTGGACTTTGTCATGTTATTAGGTGTAGACTACCTTGTTGGGGTGTGTGTGATTATCGTAGCTAATGGTTATAGACTTTGAATGACATGGCTCAAAATAGTTTGCAATGGCGCAGTTGCATCCATTTTTGTCTTACCCCAAATTACAGTCAGCCACAACGTAGGACCAGGCACATATATGCATCGGTCCAAGTTGCCATACATCATTAGCACAACACGATGAACACCAAATTCATAGTAGTTACTTCAATGGTATTAATATAAAAAAGAAAGATTGCATATAAGAATATAGTACAGGAAGAAAGAATTAATTCGTAGAAAGATATAAGACCATTTTAATCTTATGGTTGAAGGGAAGAAGGAGAGTGTATACACCTACGCCATTTTGATCGATTCTGAGCCATGTCACCAAGAGTCTCCACTCATTGGTTACGAAAGTCACGCGGACCCCAACCAAGTAGTCTGCATCTACCAACATGGCTCAGACCAGAAGTTAGTGACTTCAGGCACTGATGCCACGTTGTGGTTCGGCCACCCCTACTTTTCTTCCAACCGTCTCCAACACTAGTCAGCATTACGCGTCGTGGTAGTCGGTATTCAGGCATACATAACACGTGGCCCAACCATCTCAGTCAATGAAGATTTACAACCTCATCAACTGGTTTACCATAATTCCCTAATACCATGAGTCTAATCTCATTATTATTTACTTGGTGATCCCAGCAGATTTGGGCAATATTTCTAAGGCATTTGTGATCAGATACTAGTAGCTTACAAGTATCTTCTACCCTTTATAGCCACATTTCGCGGTCGTAAAATAGAACGGAACGAACTGCCGCGCAGTATACTCGTCCTTTTATTGATAGACGGATACTTTGCCTTTGCCATAGGTGACGTAAGTTGGCAAAAGCCAAACGAGCTTTCTGAATTCGTGCAGAGCTTTCGTCAAACACCAACCCATTCGGGCTGATCAGACTTCCAAGATAAGTGAAGTTATCGACGCGTTCGACTACTTTATTCCCTATCCTTAGTTCAGGTGTTGACGAGGCCAGTCCTGAAGCAACAACTTGTATCTGGAGGAGAAGCTCATGCCAAATATCCTGGCATTGTTGCTCAGTGCTATCAAAACTCTGCATTTTATCAGCGTCTTCACCAAACAGGACTATATCATCTGCATATTCTAAGCCGATAAGTGGACCTCCTGGAAGGAGATCAATTCCTGAAAATTCATTCTACGAGAACGTGATTCCCATCAATATGTCTGTGATGAAGTTGAACAAAAATGGGGAAAGTGGACAGCTTTGACGGACACCAAGGTCAACCAATGTAGCCCGACTGGTTTATCACGATAGGCAATCCCGACCAACGCGTCAAGTTAGCAGCAACGGTCGTGTTTCTATCTTGTCCATTTCAAAAATACGCCTTCACTCAGGATAATTTTAAATTATCCAGTTCTAAAAACGTAAATTCTTCAAACCCATAATTAATATTCAATGCATTAATTTTCGAGTTTCAGATAATTACTGTTTCACCCATACTTTCTCTAAACCTATCCTCCATATATATAATTATAATAACAGTGATAACTTTTAGAATTAATCTATCCCTACTGTTCATTATTTAGTGTAATATTCCAATACGAGTAATGTTGCAGGCAACTAATGAAAACCCTGAGAGTACAACAAACCCACATTATTCTGTTTCAGTTGTTGTCTCTATCTTATTCAAACTGATTTCATGGCTATTTAGTTAAATTGTCATGCTTGAACTCAATACCATATTTGTAAACTAGTTAAGACTCGCATATAAATTTGTTTACTTTAAATTGTTTAACTTTTTAGAAATGTCACTAGAATTATATACTAAAAGACTCAACGAAATCGTTCGTCCAACAGGAAACGTCAAAGAACAACTTTTGTCAGCAATCAAGGACATCGAAGCCAAAATAGAGCATCTAAAAGAAATAGTAAGTTGTAGTTTCCTTTTTCTTTGTAATCTTATTAAAGATCTTTCTTTCAGAAAATTGTGAGATCTCTCATGTTTGTCATGCGTCTGAAGATCTAAAAGTTCGTATGGAAAAGTTGTTTGAGGGAATATCAAAAAATCAAGAACATATGGTGGGCTTAATTCCCAAAGTATCCCCCTTGCACGATGTAGCATATCCAGTAATAGAAGAATGTGAAGCCCTAACAAAGCAGTTGAGGATCTTGGAATTCGCTGAACACTTGTCATTTCTTGAGTAATTTCACTTCTCTTCATCTATATATTATCTGTAAGGTCTGGTGTATTATCTGCTAGAATAATTAATGACAAGGACATTCTAATTGAGTCAATTAAACAATATTTTTCCTTCCTTAATACTCAGTTATCGACTGATCCAGACATTTTGCCCTCTATTTTGGAACAATCTCAACAGCATAAAACGTGTTTAGATTCCTTGCTATATTTAATGACGTAAGAATTTATAAATTAAAAGCTATTTCTAGGGATTTTGAGTGCTTACTAAAGAAACTAAATTTTCCTGTTATTGTATCTGAAGTTCTTGAGGAAGGAGGATTACAAACGTGGTGTGATGACGATTTGCAGTTATTTTCCAATGACTTTCAAGCTCTTTCTACATTCGATATTTCGTATCCTTTCATGAACAGACTATTAACATTAAGCCAAAACTATGTACCATGAATAAAGAAATCAATTTAAAATGAATCATTTATGCTAGTTAGCCGCTACACTGAAGACAACTTACTCCAGGTTCAAATGAAGCTACTTATTTGAAGGCCTTTTAATTTGTTTTGAAACTCCACTAAAAAGCAAAAAAAACCGGAAGACAAATCTGTGTAGCAGTTTGATTAGATCACACATAAATATGATAATTACTGATGAAGGAAACACTCCTTGCTCCACCTTGGTATCAATTAGTCTGTCTGCTAAAGCTGAGGTTTACAACGCATCAGTGAGTGTTCTACCCTGTTTGTGAAACCTGTCCCTCCCGATCTGAAGATGTATAGCGACATATTATTTTTTTATAATCATTGTTTTCGAAAGATTACTGATATTCGGTGACAAAATCGCGTTCGGCCATGTGTTTGGCGTAACGACGTTGATTCGGTTGATGCCATCATCTTGGGACACCGACTTTAATGGGGTGATCATATTTTGCTAATGTCATCCTAGCAACTTCCACATCACCTATTATTTGAAGACTTTTAGACTGAACATAAAATGTGGAGTTGGCCAGTTTATGACGCAACCTCGTAGTATACAAGGTGGTTGCATGGGACTAGCATCTATTGGTCCATCACGACTCGGCTGGGGCCTTATAGGTGGCTTAAGACGTTATCAGGTATGGCTCGGAATAGAAGCTGATGTCCATCCTATAGTTTCCTACTACACTGTATCATTGCCACAGGATCACGCTTAACTAAAATTTTTTGTTGAGAATCACCTTAATGCCCTTCACTGTGGTTTAATTTGTATGATTTTTCTTTGTCATGAATGTACGCTAGTGTTTTGATTCTTTTTCAACTACTGTGTAATATAGTACTAAACTGTATGTGTGGCGTACTCATCAATCATTGATCTATGGTTTTATTTCCCTCTGTTTTCATAATTTACACAAGTATTAAGCCGTATCCTTTTAACTCCTCATCAGTCATCTAAATATTTTAATATCGAAACCGTTACTAATAGATGTATGCTTTCCAATGCATATTATTCTGGCTCCTATGGAGAAGCGTTTTCGTTATCACTTTTGTGGCTCTCAGAAGACAAACAGAATCGATATGGTACATTTACAAATACACATTTAACCACAAACTTTTATTTAGCCTGAATGGTACATGTCACAAGTTCTTCAGTGGATCCGAACAAATGATTATTTTGTTACAGTGGTCGATCGTGATTTTATCTCTGAGAAAGACAATACTCCTGTTAGCGTCCGAGTGAGTTTGAAAATAAAACCGGCAATCATAATTATTACTTTTTTTATCGCATTTTAAATCTGATCACAATCGCAGTAATGTATTTTATATTTTGTCAGACTTGACCTCAGTTTCTTTTACACAGTCGTTAATTTGGTATTTCATTCAACAACCACGAGTATATTCATAATTTAGTGTGAAATAAACATTTAACTCGAAAGTGTTTTCATTTCATTATCATCACTATATGTGTACAGATTAACATCATTAGTTTGTGTTAGTTTTTCTCATAATCAACCGTAGGGCTTCTTGACAAGAAAGTTTATAATCTGAATTTACAATTTCATTTAGGTTTTATTGTAAACTCCAGGCTTCAGCTGGTTATATGGATTTCATTGGAATGGATAATTTTTAAAGCTTGGTAATTGCCTTTTACAGTGAAAGCAAAATAACAATTAACCTATTGTTTAGGTACTTAAATATGAGCCATACTCTAAGTGTGAGTGCTAGTGATACTGGCCGTCTGTCCAAACCGCAGTTGGAGCGGAACTCAAACCTAGGATCTAGTGACTAAAAGTCGAACGCCTTATCCAGTAAGGCACCACTCTACGAGTGTCGTTTGTACATGGTGCAAACTGTATTACAGCAACACCGTTATCAAGTTAGGCTGTACGTTTTAGAAATTGATTGTTCAGAACCACTTAGCCTCAAAAGTGCATCGAGAATGACTTCTATCAATCGTTATCAATGTAACTCATTTGGCGAGTACATGTTTATGTACTCGGTTTCGGGCTACATTATTTGTAAGATATTTATTATTTGAACACATAAATATTGGTACAAGGGGCACCGAATACATATGAGCCACACAAGTCACTTGATTTGTGTGTGGACTGTGATACTACCCGGGTGCCCAGATCAAGGCAGGTGGTTTTCTTAGGGGGCCAATCCCTGAGCCTTCGACCTAAAGGTCTAATCCAAAAGGCAATGAAGCGACGTCAGGAGATTCATTCTCATGGTAGCTGATGACCAACGATTGGTTCATACACAATTTTTTTATTTCAGGATACTGAAGCCCATGTGCACCATTAATTTGGAACCAGGGTTTTCTAACTCCTTTAGGTGAACTCTCCGTGTCCACCAAGCTGGTTAAAGCGCAGGACATTCGCTTTTCATTTTCTCAATTTCGTAAATAACACCTCTGCCGTGAGATGCCAGTGAGTAGGACGTCCCTGGCAGTGGCTGTATGCACGTGGCCGTGTGAAAGCATTTCGAGAGGGACAGCTGACTCTCCCCACCCTCGGCCGTACCCAGCGCGTTTGGGTGCAGATTCTGCCACTACTGCATTGTTTTGTTGTTCAGTTACAATACACAAATGAGGACGGTTGAATATTCACTATTTAGTGAGTTCACTTCCAATTAATTTGGGGGCTACTGTTCAAGTGGCGTTCAAATATGCTACCTATCTAATTTTAAGTATCATTCTGAAAATTTTGTTAGCAAATAATTTAGATTTGAGACTCCCTGCTTAGTCTTCACGGATATTGTGATGTTTAGTAGCGTGTAAATCAATGACTTACTCAGTTTTGATTTAGAATTTGTTGTTTAGGTACTGGCTGTTTTTATTCACACAAAGGTGGATTGAAAACCTGATGGTTTATTTCACACACTTGATATTCAGGACTTTTACGAAATCCTACTCAGAAAAAGAAGTAGAATGTGCCATCACAACTTGGCTATTAGTATCGACCCCAAAATTACGCGAAGTTCATCACACTTTTATCACTTACTCCTGCTGCTCCTCGTGGAGGAGCATAGGCCACCTAAGCCAAAACCTTGCTCACAGCAAATCATAAAAATAACTAAACTAGTTGAATGAAAGGTACCTATCGTAACTTAGTACTATCAAGGAGTTGACGTAAGTTAGTAATATGGTATTAATTGTACAACTGAAGTACCGCGAAAAGCTCAGTGTAGTACATAAGTCTGTAAATTTGTATACACTAGTTCAGTGGTAGGCTGTACTTGCATCTAGATCAGCTTGTGAATTTTTGCTTACTGTACTTAGAGTTATAATTTAATGAGATGACATTGCTATTTTCTCTAGTTGCAGCTCATGCGTGGTTTGGTCACATTGCTATTAGACAAACTACACTATGACCTTGGTATATCTGCTTTTATGCCAGTACGATTTGGTTATCAATTTCAAATGCGACGTTCTAACTCTGAAATATTAAGTTGTTTTATGGACTCTGATCCCGGTAATAGTTCTAGTAGTGAATTGCTAGAAAATGCACAAAATTTCAGCCACTTAATTGATGTCATATTACAGACGGATGCGAAATTAACTCAGCTAGCATATCCAAATGATTATCCTAAACCGAGTGATGTGCTTTCACATCCCAAAGTTTTTTCACGTTGGCTTTTACTAGAACAGTGTTTAGCTTCTGACAGATTAAAGCTTGTCCTCGGGAATTTCTCATCTTGGTCTGTTGTTGACGAAACTGAAAAGCGGTAAGTAAAATAGTTAACTGCAGCTTTAGTTCTTTATGCTTCAGTATATATCCTTCAAGATTCCAAAGACATTCATTGTTATATCTGGTCAAGTATTGACTAACACTGGAGTACGAACTACATTCATTGTAAAGCGCTAACCAATACTGCTTAGTTATCAGAAACTAAATGGGTGAAATGAGATTCCTACTCATCAACCTATGATAGAGTCAAATGTTTAGACATCTAACACAGCTCCAACGAATTTCAGTGATTTTAGAATTTTTAAATATATATTTAACTATATGAAATCTAGCACTGATGTGATTTGTCAATGATATACAGATAGGTTGTCCGGACAAAGTCCTGGAAATTATGAACACTTACAAATCGATATTCTGACCAATTAAAGGCTTCAATTATTTTAGATATGTTATTAGTTTTGTAAATATTATCACTATCTATTTTTTGACTTAAAAATAATTTTGATCATTAATTGCTTAAAATTTTTAGTGTTTACTCTTATACGTCCTGTTATGTTTTGTGAAGTGTTTTCTGATTATAATCTTTCCTGCGTATAAAGTATTACAAATTGTGTTCAGAGATATATTGTTTTTGGCTTTGTTGCATCAAGTGGCAATTTCGAGCTTCTAATCTTTACATTTGTATTCACAACAAAGTGATTCTATTAAAGCTTTTCTCTCTAATGTGTATACTACTTCTTTGCAAAAACTTTAAAGTGGTTATTAGACAGTTTTTTATTTACTTATTGAGCAAACATATGTTTTCTTTAGTGAAATTCTATCTTGTCATAGTCCATCTTCATTACCGAATCAGTATATTTTGATACTGAAAATATGAAAATTTTCGTAGCGTCGAGAACTTATGCTATTAAAATTTTCTTTTCTTTAGGCCCCAGTGTGTCGACGATTTCATTGCACTTCTCCATGCTGTAGGTTTTAGAAGTCGACAACTATCTGACAAAATATCACGGGCTAGATTTGTCCAAATTCAGTTGAATTTAATTCGTGAATTTTTTAATGATATCGTGTTGTCAGCACGTCGAAAATTCGAAAATGATGACTCAAATGACCTTGGTCAGTCAAAAAACAAATCTGAAGTTAGCAATGCTAAAACAACAGTGCTTGGAAGTTTGTTTTCATCACGTAGTCGCTCGCCAAACGCTAGTTCAGAAACTAAGAAAATTTCAATCATCAATCAGCTATTCAATTGTTTTGTTGATGGGATTGGTCAGAAATTATCTTCTCGGTGGATAATTGTGTTGAACGCAATCAAATGTCTTCACGATGTGATGTTGGAATGGGCCAATGACCAAGTTAGTTGACCGTTGTGTATTTATAAGCTTTCGTGGACAGTACTTCTAAATTACATGAATAAGATTATTGTTTTATTGATTCATACGTAACTAGTCCGTTAGTCTTTTAGTTATCTACTGTTTGTTATTGATTTAAAATCAAGAAGCTCCTATTGAACTTAGCACGTTATCTATACTATATATATATATATATATATATATATATATATATATATATATACTATAAATAGAACTTAGTGTTTGATTATGGGGATCTTCATCATAGTTAACTAGTGGAATATATATTTCAATCTGAGATCATAAAAAAACAACTATTATCAGACAAGAAGCTAATCTTACTTGGAGTTACAGTCACATGGTGTTCTGGTTTCTGTTAACGCTTCCTTCTTCCTATGCTGTAGTATTAAGATCTTTCGATTAAAGCCCACTCGTAACAATTTTATCTTGCCTGTAAATCGACATACTTCATGTAACTTATTATTCTTGAATAAATTATTCTTACTATTTATTACCATTATTAGTATCAGTATTAGTAATAAAGCTGAAATTTTTCCACCTCAACATGTGAATATACCCTGAACACTAGATTTCAACATATATATCAGTAATCACTTACAGGTCCATGCACTCGGGTTGTAGTCATAGATTTTGTAGATAAAGGCTAGTAATACTTCTATCACGGATTTAAAGTCAGATCATTTTACCATTAAACCATTATATTAAGTGTCTGATACAGGTTTCGATTTCAAGAGAAGACAAAGTTGCCACCAAAAATATGACTACCATAAAATCCTGAAATAATATTGGGGTTTTTCAATCTCTTTTAATTCATAGTATTACGTAACATTTTGGGAAGATTTAAGCACTCGCGCGTTATTACAGTTTGGAGATCCTTGGCTAATTGACATTGGTCTTTGTCCTCTTGTTACCGATGAAATAGTAAAGGAGGTAAGTGATTTGATATATATACTCATAAAATACCCACGTACTAAAAAATATCTAAAATAATCTGAAATCTGCTACTTAATCCTTCTTTTTTTAACCTTATAGCCAGGCATCTCCGTTCACTCAAATTCAAGATTAGGTGGACTCATATATACCGAAAAGTTATCAGAAAAACTGTGAAGCATTTGTAGTTATCTTTGTTTTAAAGATTATTACACTTGATGCTCTCAGAATCACTTTAGTAACACCAGTGGTCATTCAAATCTTTATAGTAGTACATGTTTTTGTTCCGAAATAGCAAAAAATATGTAACATCTAGTTGGTCTAGTCATGTCACCAGTACATTACTTCAATAAATACAACAATTAGATCTATTCTCACTCAAAAACAACCACGGGGTTTAGAATAATCTGAAGGATCTTCTATTATGATTATTTTGTAGAGAAATATCTCTGATTTTATCAAATGATAAACATCATGCTTATTAGTTGACAATTCATATAGTTAATGATTAATAGAATGCTGAACCAAATGTCATTATCGTGTTTCAAATCATTCACACCAGTTATCAAACACGCGTGTCCGCTTGACGACTAAGACATAGTTCAGTAATGATCCTCTACTGTGATATCTAGCTTTCAAAGTAATAGCATGAAATCCATGTTCTCTCAAAAGTGATTAATTAATTGGTCATTTCTCAGTTATTTGAAGCCTACTATTTTGGATCGTAATCTTAAACGTCTCTCATAACTTCTTGAAGACATTTAGAAATGACCAAAGTCAATGCCAAAACAGTATAGTTTCATTGTTTGTATATATATATAAACCCAAGGCATTTTTTGTATTTTCATCAACCTAATTATTAAGCGCTTATCTCTTTGATTTTGTGATTGGTTTGATAACTCGCTTCAGTTTCATAGTTTTAATACACTTGTTGTTTGACTTGTAGCTCAGTGCTTGTAAATTGTTTATTTGTGTTAAATAATACATGCCCTGGTTTATAACTGTTTTTGCAAGAACAAACATGTTTTATATCATGATTTTTACTAGTAGCATTCCAGCACATTACAATTATTTCTAGTATCCTTCTCTAACTATGGTGTTTTATAATCTGTCTTTTTTAATAGTCAGAACAGAATGAACCTAAAAATGAAACATTTGACGAGTTGCATTCTTCCAATACTTACCTTGGTTTACATGGTGGTGTTTTCAGTCAGGTTAGTTGTGATATATAACTGTAAATTTAATAATGTCTTTCATTTATTTGATGTAAACTTTATATTTTAGGTTTTATTTTATTCTGTACATTAGTTACCAAAATTATATAGTGACTTGATGAATATCAGGTATTCACCGTACTATTTTATACGGTGACAAAAAGCTTTTTGTCTAATCCTACTTACAAACAATATTTCTCCGGAAAATTTGCGTCACTCACGGTTTCATTCGAGACGTTACCGATAAGTTATTGAGTCCAATTTTCCTGAGCAGGTTTCAAAACATTTCAATCGAATATTTCATATATACGACCTTCATATCCAATAGTGACCTTCACCGAATCTCATCAACTATGCAGATAAAACGCTTTGGGAATCCGTTTCAATCGGTTTTTAGACTTTTTAATCATGTCCACCCGTAACTATAATTGCAATCAAATCAGGGGCCATTGGATTTTACGACCAATACATTATCATTCACTAGACACTACAGTTTGGATTTTTAGATACCATAAATAAGTTTCCAGACATCTATCCTTAGTGATCCGCTCTCTTGAAATGCTCACACGTACCCCGCGTATACAGCCAATGCCAAGGAAGTAATAATTACTGCGTTCTCGCGGCGGGAGTGTTGTTTGCGAAATTGAGAAAACGAAAAGCGAATGTTCGGCACTTAACTGGGTTGGTGGACACGGAGGATACACACAGGAGAGTTGGAAAACCTTGGTTCCAAATCAGTGGTGCACATTGACTCCGAGATCCTGAAGGAACGAATGGTGTATGAACTAATTGTTGGTCACCGGTTATCATGGAACTGGACCTCCTAATGTTGCTCCACTGACTTGTGGATCAGACCTTTAGGTCGAAGGCTCGGGAAGTGGTCTTCTAAGAAAATCACCTGCTTCGGTTCGGGCATCCGGGCAGTATCACAGCTCTCACACAAATCTATGATAACTACCATTGCTTCAACACTGGCTTACACAAATCTTATTCACAATCATATGATAACATTCGTTTTTATTTATTTTATACTTAGTTGCTTATGTATTCCTCTTGATACTCATTTTGCGTATTTTATATTTTACCCAAAACAGCAGTTCGCCTATGGTAGAAACCCTGGCCTGTCTAAACAATCTCAAGTCACTGACTGGTCGAAGGTTGGATCCTACCACCGACTACGAATACTGAGCCAGTCTTTCTGAAACCGCTTGTGCCATTCAAACTGAGCTCTTTCAACGTCCGCACACTAATGCATAGCGGACAATAGATGGGGTTGGCTATGTCTTTAGAAAGTCTCAATATCTATGTCTGTTGTCTATCCGAGACCTATATTGAAGACTCGTATGAAATACTACAAATTCGCCCTTCATCTGTCGCTTCGAATAGCTTGTTTTCCGTAAGTTTGTCCGGAGACCCTGTGGCATCTTCGCTTGTTTTGCCGGAGTTCGTATCGTACTAAATGCTAGAGCTGAGGCAGCACTGGACTCTGGTCATTCCTTGTTTGCGCTAATTTTACCTTACTTTTCATTGGCCAGCAAATTCATCATCCTAAACGGATCAATGTCAGTAAATTGGTTGCAGCTTATGTTGCAACTAAATATCAAACCGAGCTAGGTCGATGGTTAGCTACCATCCCATCAGAAAGTATAGATGAGCACTGGTTGCAATTGCATGACGCTATGAAAATGGCGATTTAAGTCGTTTGAGACTTCGCGAAATTTCCCTCTTATAAGCACTGGGTTTCTTCAGGCTATTTACAACTCATTGAAACACACCGGTCTTCTCCGAATGACCACGAGTTTGACCAAAATAGTGGCGACTTTTTTCATGGAACTGACTTATTTATTTCTAAAGATATAGCAATTAGAGAGTGTTCCAACATTACAAAATGAATCTATAGTTGTTCCTCCCTTTAAAAAGGGTTCACTTCGTTTCTGCCACACCTCTCAGGGGATAAGTCTACTTCCGATTGCGTCCTGAATATTGACTTCCGTCATACTTCATAGATTGTTGAAAACCTGAGAAAGATTGACTTACGAGGAGCAGGCTGGTTTTCATTCTAGTCGAGAATGTATTGATCATATATTCACCCTCCGCCAAATGTTAGAACAACGTCATACTTATCACAGACCAACAATCGTAGTGTTTCTTGACATCAGGGCTGTCTTCGATTTGTTGGACATAACTGTTTTCTGGGATAACCTATTGAAGGGCGTTCCTGAGAATTTTATTGACATCTTGAAAGCCCTATGTACAAACTGTTATGACCTTGACGTCTGGCTTTTCTATCACGCGACTTATCCACCAATCAGAATACGACTTATACAAATCTTCACACTATGCCAAACCAATGACGTTCAACCGGCATGAGCAGTCTAGCGTCCTTATTAGTCCTATGTCCTCCTAGCCCGTCCACTAGAGTCCAGAACACAACACCAGTTTCTGCAATATGAATTGGATCGTTTATTTCAGACATACTCGGTTTATATATCAACCAGACAGACCACAACGTACCATAAAATAAAAAATAACATGTGTACACAAATAAGCCAAAAAGTGGCTGTGAATGCGGGAGGTAATAATTAATAGACTGAACATAGATTAAGAACCGTAAATCGTTTAATAATAAATTGTAGGTCAAAATAAAGCTTACAATAAGGGAAATATAAATACACATAATGTAATTATTGAATAACTATACAATAAGAATATTTATAGAATATTAGTCTATTTACAGTCCTCGGAAGTTACCTGTAACTTAATCTTCACTGGGTTTTAACACAAACACCTCAGGCAGCGAAGGCATACAACCACCTCTCTCCACTGTTGCACTCAAGCAGTGGGGTTGGACAAGGTTGCCGAATCTCATCATTCCTCTCCAACTTTGCCATCGATGACATTCTGGAAACAGCTCTGATGGATGTAAGTAATGGCGGCGTGGATCTGTTGCCTGGAGAAAGACTTCTGAACCTTGAGTATGCGGATGGTATTGTCTTACTGTGTGATAATGCCCAAGCCATGCAATCTGCACTTAATCAGTTGGCTATTAATGTCCGTATGTACGGTATTTACTTCGCACCTTCGAAGTTCAAAGTGTTTTTACAAGACTGACAGGACCCTAATTCTGTACTCACCCTGGGTAGTGGGCGGATAGAAGTAGTCGACAAGTTCGTGTATTTAGGTAGCCATCTTTGGCGCCTTCGTGATGCTAATCTGGCTGTAAGAGGTCGGATCTACAACGCCTCGGTGAGAGGAGTTTTGCTTCATGCTTGTAAGACCTGACCACTCCGAGTTGAGTATTTTAAGCGACTCTGTTTCATCATTTTTGTATACGAATAATTGCTGACATACAATAGCAACGCCGTGTTAGTAATGCAGAGGTTCGGCATCGTGTTTTCGGACACAGTGATGATAATACAATTGGTGTCAAAATCTTGAAACACAGACTTCGGTAGCTTGAACATGTCTTACGAATGTCGTCTCAGCGAATTCCTCGTTGTACATTATTTGCCGACGCTGAGACTGTTTGAAAAAAGCGTAAGGGTGGTCAGTATATGACATGTCGTGGTATGAAAGAAAGTTGTACAAGACTGGCTTTTTTTGGGCCTTTACGACTTCCTGGTTGATTTCCTAAAGATGGTACAGCATAGTGGCTAGAAACATTGTTAGGCATGGCTCAGAATAGAAGCAAGTGACGATTCTGCTGTAACCTTCATAAAAGTGAACGTAATTTCCTTGATTGAAAGAATTCTTTCTGATTATATTTTTGCTAACTGAATTGTTTTTCCTATTATTATTATTATTATTATTATTATTATTATTATTATTATTATTATTATTATTATTTCACTCTTATATACTAATTTCTGTTCGTTGCTGTTCTTTTTTATCATACGCACTGCACCTCTATCTTTTCACAACCTCATGGTTATTACGTATCGCATATGTATATGGTGCCCCCCTGTGCCATTGTTTATACTCAAATAAATAAAATAAATCCATAGTGGTTAAAATACTTTTTCCTAATCATTAAGTCTCATGTCCAAACTTTTCTCATCCTCATGTGTTGTGGCGGGGTCAATAGCTATCACACTCAAAAATCTGTATTTCCAAAGCTTAGTACATAATTTTGTATACGATTATGAAGTCACATGTTTCATTTGCGTAACAAAGGATAAATTCTAACTGAACATTTTTCTTCATACCGTTGAACAGCTATTAATCTAATAAAATATATTTCAAAATAAAGTATTAACAAAAGTCGTACATTTGTCAGTAGGTTTCATGAATAAGTATGCTTCAAATAAGCTGCATGAATTAAATCTGTTCATGTAAACCATTTGTCAGTTTCCCTTCTACCAAGTATACGACAGTTACGAAGAAACCTGATTTCCGTGTCTACTTATGATAGTCAGCTTTTGTTATTAAAGATACTTTTTGACTAATTGTGTATCTGTAACACTGACAAACTCAAATATCAATGCAATAAATGTCTAAAGAAACGCTACTAACTTTACAAGTGGGCTTTGCAGAGAGATTTAATTTGTGATAACTTTTAATATACTTCAATTAATTTTCACATAATTCTACACACTAATCAACAATCTGTCTATTTTTGATACCATTTCATTTGTTAAAGTTTTGATCGTGTTTAGAGTATTTTCTTCTTTTTTTTAACTTGCATTTGTTAATCTCGGCATAATACTGCTGTCGCTTGTTTTGTTTCAGTTTCACAGCTTATTACCAGACTTTCAATAGGTGATTACTGCATGTCGTACCTTGTTCAATAGTGTTTATTTTATATTTTCTTTTTCAACAATTCAACAGATGCTAAAATTGTACAATGGTGAAATTAAAAATATGTTGAAAGAAACAGTCGATTTAACATTGACAGATTTAAAAAGTAAATCTTGGGTATATGTTTATGCATCTGATCACTGGCTTCGAACTAGTTCTGTTTCCGGTTATTTAAGTAGTATGAAAAGTGAACTCTCCAACTTAATGATGTCAGCTAATGCGTCAGTATTCTTTCTTGCATTACGTGACTGGTTGTATCAGTTATCAGAATCATTACATCCAAAACTTTTCACACATGTATGGAAAGAAATTGCATCACAATTAGATGATTATTTGTATAATGAGGTATGTTGTGACAACTTAATTCATCTATTAGTTGAGTTTGCCTAAACTGAGCCAACTTTGATTTTACCTCTATTCCTCCCATAATTTCGAACTTTGCACTTGTGACATAAATAACTAGGTGATGGATAAAGCAATATTGAATCTGGCTACATCTATGGATTGATGTGTTCAAATTATCTTTTAGGAAAAGCGAAAACAGCTGAATTAATCATGATGATGTGTATTACTCTACATTAATGTAGAGTAGTAGATTTTTATTGTTTATAGTTTAGATGGGAAAATGTGCTCATATTTTCACCTATTACCGATTTTAAATATTGTCACCTATGTTGTTCAACTATCGGCTTTTAATATCGGTTCAGCCAGCTGGATAATGTCACTTGACCTCACACTTTAGGTTAAATACATTAACATGCGCGTGGCAAAGAAGTAAACTAACTAACGGGTTTGTGAATGATTATCATAGACAAATTTAGGAGTATGTTGGTGAAGAGAATGGTAGATTAGATATCAGAACAAACTAAACTTCCTGTCACTATTTCAAAGCGTATGAATTCCTTTCCTTCCTAGAATAAACAGTCCACAATTTTCATGGAAATTATTCCATCTTCTACACTTGTTAATATCATGTTAGATACTTAAAAACAACAGGAATAATTATACCAAGGTTTTGTGCACCAATATCTAAGAAATGAGTTACCTCAAAAATTCACACATATCAGTGTTCTAGTCAGAGACACTGAACTTTTGATCTGCTCGATGTATTTATTATATACCTCCATATTCTTTCCGGCAACTTAAAATGACTTGAAGTTGTTACTACTTATCTATATCTTAAAGAAATATGAATTCATGTTTCCTGTCACACACCAAACTATAACTGAATTTTAGCTTTATAGTCAATTTTGGTTGTATAAGTACCAAAAAATAATTCGTCAGATACTTCAAGGCGAAAATATTCAGGTCAATCGAGTGTTTGTTTAACCAATCCAAAATGACGTGGATATTAGGCAACTATTTTGTTCGTTCAGGCCCTAGGCTTTTAGATGTGTGCTCGGATCGATTCATCTTAAAGATTAGAACTGGTAAAACAATTTCACATCTATTTAACTGTTGACCAAATTTAAAAAGTTCACAATTCAGTATTTAGGATGAAATCGCGTTGGAGTTTCACTTTCTAAACGTCATATGCACCTCTTACTCGACATTCCCCAAACACTTTCTGTTTGGGGACTCTGTCAATAATTAGACATAAGTGATATGATGATAGAATTTAAAGCGAATGTAATGTCAACAATTGATAATTATCTAACATCTTCATTTTTAACCTGTTTTCCCAACAGCTCATTCTATCAAATCGATTTAGTCCTCTGGGTGCTGCACAACTTCGTTTTGATCTTACTAACTACTTGTATCCAATGTTCAGTTTGTATACTGAACGTCCTGAGTCATATTTCTTTCAAATTCGTGATGCATGTGTTCTGCTAAATTTATTGCGTGGAACAGCCGAATTATTGAGAGAAACTATCATGGAATCAATGAATAGCCAACAGAAGCGTGATAACGATCCACTTGGGCCTTTACTTGAATTAGGTGTTTATAGACTAACTCCGGAAGAAGCCCTTAGTATTTTGTCCTTACGTGCCATTCCAGAATAAGAGATTTTTTGTATATTCAGAAATCTGACCTCCTAAAATGTCTTTCTTTCGCCCTTCTATGTTCTAGTTTGAAGTGCTTTACTTGTTCTCAGTGTGTAAATATAATTTCCTGAAAATATCCATATATAATAATTGGATAACGTAACTTGAAGGTAATGTACTTCCGTTTATATCTTGATTTAACCTTGAATAAGAAATACGTGTGAATTGTAATTACTATTTGGAACACTTTTGCTGTCTATCCATTTCCAATCGCTTATAATGCGATCTACAATAAAAAACGTCTTATCTCTGCTATTTTTACTAATTGTCTCCCCTCCTTGCTACGAAGCCTGATTCTCAAGGGAACTAGAACAACAATTTGAAGTAAATATCGTGAATTCATCTCATTTTGTTGGGTTTGTTGACCAATTTTATTAAAATTGGTCAGTCGGTCATAGTAAACAGAAGTACATGTGCATCTACCTGATGTCGATCTAACTTTATGCTACCTAAAGTATAAACTTAAGCATATTACCCGTCTCGGGACATATGCCCCCAACCAGGTATTTACACCACTATCCTTTCTAGTTGTTATCAAATGGACTGTTTAAACGATAGTGTTTAACTTATAACCCTAACCTTATAGCAGTGTTGTTCTTGCTTCGCCATTTCATACCTTCATATCTGCGTCAAACCCTCCTCGTGTGTCGATGATACTGCCCAGATACGTAAAAGTTCCCACTTCTTTCACAGCTTCTCCATCAAGAGTGATTTGGTTGGTGCTCGCTGTTTTTACTTCAGGATCTCACTTTTTCCTTTGTGAATCTTGGAACCTATTTCTGTCAAAGCTAATTCTACACTGTGTATCTTCATTTGCATTTGTTCCTATGTATACGATAGAAGGGTTAAGTTATCTACAGATCCCTAAGTGTCCTCTGTATTCCATGCTTCTCCTGAGATGTGGAGGCTTTTATAATTCAGTCAACAACCAAAAGAAAGAGAGAGTAATAGGCCCCGAATGCTCCAAGTTCCGTCAGTTGCACTGGTTTATCCGCTTCTATTTTTCAAGGAGTATTACATCGGTCACTTTTAATTAAGTTTAACTGGATATTTTTATTCTGGGTTAAGGTTGAACCAGAACCTACGTAACTTAACACAAAAGTGGAATAATTATAACTTAAAAATTGTCAGAGTGTTTTATACAGAAATTGATATCTAATCAACTTATGAACTATTTGACATTGTTTTGTGTATCACATTACAGATATAAATAGGAAGTAATTTTAATATGATATCATCTACATCCGTCTTCATTAAGTCAGATTTTGGTCTACAAGGAAATAATGATTGTGACTTAGTACAATTTAATTAATAATTGCTTAATATTATTCTTGGAAATATTTAAAGTTTCTTGCAAATTCTGCTTACATCTACTAGTCTCCATCTACTTTGATCAAATACTTGATTTGCACAAATAGTTCAACCATTAAAACAGAATTTTAATCATACTCTTGCTACTTTTTCGTATGGTGGTAGTTTTTAAAACATAATTCAATAACTAGCGTCAGTTGTTGTAATAGGATGTTATTTAATAATCCTTTACCACAACCTGGCGTTTACTATTTTTATTAAAAAATTGAGTCATACGTCACATAAATTGTGTTTCTGACGTTTCGTGACTTAATGTAAATCGATTCTTCGGAGGTTTACGTCAAGTCACGAAACGCCAGTAATGAAATATTCCTACTCATTGGGATATAACATAAATATATATATATGTTTTGGCAATAAATGCGCGGACTTTGCAACAAAGGTTTTTGCTAAAGCTCTAGAAGAAATCATAAGGTCTTAAGGGCGATTTAATGAAAATAATCCATTGAAGAAAATAGTAAGTGCATCAAACATTCCAGTAAAGACTCCAAGGTTAAGGAAACTGTCCACCTAATTTGATAAAAACATTTAAGGTGTGTGGTCTTTCCTACGTTCTGATCGCCGATTCACTATATCGATTTTAAATTCTAATAAAAATGTCTGTATACTCCATCATGTCAAAATATCTAGTTAAGATCAAATGCCAAATAACAAGGCAGCTGCAGAATCTATCTTGTTGGGTTTACTACCCACGTTTTAAAAGAAGAAAAAACATTAATGATACACTCAAATGTTTGTAAAGTAACGTTTCTATGAAGTTATTTCGTTTCTTCCTTGGATTAACTGTGTATGATAACAAAAAGTCACTGAATAATTCCTGTTTTATTTGAAACACCAGTTTTGATAGAGTGAATAAGATAACAAGTTTCGATATGAAATATGATGAATAGAAAAAAATGAATCTAAAGAAAATAGGTATTTTACATAAAGGTAAACATTTAAAAAGTATCAAGAAACATTATGGACGTAAAGTTCAATCCAAAATTTCTGTATGATACTAGTTTAAATTATATTGGCCTGTGGGGTAAAGGTAAGTTTTCAGGTTGATAAAACTTTATTTTTGTAAGCTTGAGTTATATATCCACATAAATATAAATATATGCTATTAGATTATTCTCTCAATGCATCTGTGTATTCATAAGACAGGTTATATTGTATTTCTTCAACGACTCGTTGTATACACACATCAATGTAAAATACTTGGACATATTTGAAACATAAAAGAGCTATCAATTCTGCATACTTTATGGATGTTGAGTTTTCTACTAAATACAAAAAGTGTAAGTGTTTATGTGTGGATTTCATGATCCATCAGTCGCATCACTTCGCAATTCAGTAATTTTATTACTCATAAATGTGAACTCATCAGATGGTGATATTGTTTCTAATTTATCATTTAATATATTTGTAATGACGCTTTTAGGTACCTCAGAGGTGAATTCTGTTTCGCAGTTTGAATCTAATTCAGTTCTGTAGAAATTACGAAAATAAAATGTAGAACATGGTTTATACGCACACATTCAATACTAATAATGTTAATTATAATCGACTTTACTAGTTGAAAGCGCATGGTCAAACTTCTATGACTTCTCTTGGTAACCCTCAAATGAGACACTCCCGTTTAATAGTCTCACATTAATCCAAATCTGCTCACAATCGAATATGTTATCCCCTCTGACTACTACCATGTTCTCATTTGTCGTTCAAATGCAGAGCTTAGAAGAGCCTTGTCAGTGTCATATGATTCTATATGTGACGTTATCCACCCGTTCAATATGTGTGTGATGCCCGGCATTTTAAGTTCATTTGGTAAATGAATGCTTTATTTAAGAAAGTGATTTTCACTCGACATTTTGAAGTGTGTGAAGTTATCCACATAACTGTCTTCCATAAATACATCAAGGTTGTACATCTCAAGATAATGAATGAAAAATACAAGTATAGTGAATGTTAAGGCATCGATTGAAATCTTCAATGAATATTATTCATTTCTATACAGCACCCCACCCCAATAAATGAACGGAGAAAATACTGGATACATATACTTATTAACTCACTAAAAACGTGACAGATAGTCCCACGATTTTATTGCGTCAAGTTATGTAAATCTATATATTTATGTTGCCAGTTACTGAGTACTTCAATTACAGGAAATAAAATTACCGTTAACTTTTACTATTACGTTTATAAGTGTTATATAGAAAAGGAATAAACTCAGTCGAATTGGATTTTATGAGTAATAACGAACTGCTTTGGACAGATCGCGATTTGATGTAACTAACTTATCTTTTTAATTGAATTAATCAGATTATAACAATCGTCTGTAATCCGAATGAAATACTTGCACATTATGGATAAACTATAAAGAAAAGGGTGAATACATAAAAATGATATCATATTATCAACAGAGCATTAGATAAGGGTTGTGGTGTTTAGTCATGCCATTTAAATAAGAGCTGATTGTTATAATTTGTGGACTGCAGATTAGATGGCAGCGAATTATCGATCGGACCAAAGACGCGTTAAACACGTAAGAACGACCTAGAGTCCCGATTGGTCTCGCTTCCCTGTCTAGCCCAGCCATTTGAGTCCAGAACGCAAGTCTCAGCCTATGAGATATGAATCACCATATTTCAAACATACTCTGTTTATATACCAATCAAGCAGACCACATCGTACCACAAAATAGAAAATAACATTTGACACGTGAAATAAGTATTGACCAGTAGGAAGATGACACCTGGAACAAATATTGACCAATAGGAAAATGATACCATCTCAAGTCCAAGAATAGCATTAGACTTAACAGGATAATTTTTGGGATATTTTTCTGAATATCCCAACACTGATTTTATTACCGCATGAATAATCTATACACTTGGGTATACCATTATTTACAAACTGTTCTGTTTTAATTTATTCAGATAATTTAATTATTTCGTTTGTTTTCTGTCCCCTAAATTACTTCTTTATTAGTGATACTATGAAATGAAATTTTTTTTGTCTTAATCAGACCGTATGTAACTGCGAACTTCTATTTTTAGACTCAGTGTCGCTGTTATACGACTTTTGCGGTTATATGACTATTTAATTCAAGTAACCACTAAAATGCAATTGTCGATGTACATTTATTTCAATCTTTATGATCTCTCAGACAATACACCACTAGTAGTTATTACGTTATAAGAATCGAGCTTATGAATTTCAATCTCTCCTCAAAGAACCCTAATCCATTAACAATAATGTTACATGGTTAATGGATCAACATTAACAACGTACAAAAATAATCTGTATTTAGTTAGTTTTAACTCAATATCTCATTTATTTGACAAATAACACTATTTAGGCCATTAGTTGAGATAGGATTTGCGAATCATGAATTCCTTTGCCTGGAAAATTATTAAAATCTCTTACTGTACATTAACATTTGTGTTCAGTTGATGTACAGAACCTCACTAAATAAACACCATTAATAGAAGCACACTGAATGAATTCAAAATAGTTCCGACTAATAAGTTCACAATATAATATATTGTAAAAAGTTATGATGACTACCTAGAAATTAATGGGGAATTCTAAAATTCATTCATGTTGTCATAAGAACTTCATTAAATCATGCTAATCATTCGTATGATTGGCATTGTAATATTAAGTGAATTAATAATATCATCTTACCTATAAGAGTATTTTGAATAATCATCTTTTAATGTTTCAATATTTTCAATGAAATGCGTTTTTATGTTCTTGGCAGTAAGATATGTCTAAAACAAGAAGAGATATTTAATTGGAATCAATTTAAATGTTTGATAAAAATCAAATTATCTTTTGATTGAAACAAAGTCTTGTCATTTATAAGGTCATATAGTGTCTTTATACTGATAATATATCTATAATCTTGAAAGTAACATTGGTAAATTTAACAATATTCATTATATAATATGCTGTTTAAACATAAAAGAAAAAAATGCAACAAGATCACGATTTTAGATGGAATACTTGAAAAAGAACACAGACCAACATTCGTCCCTTTGTACTATAAATGAAATTCTATCAATCGTTTTTCATATGGATAATACTGAAGTTAGCCAGTGACTTCAATGCTATGTAAGATGTATAAGTTTAATGGGAGTATATAATGAAAACTAACTGCAATTGGAGCCCTCTCTGGGGTTACTGCCGATCCCAAGCCCACATAAAGGAGGAGGGTTGTGCATGAGGTTAGCAACACTATCCCGTAGAAAACTAACTCGCTAAAAAAAAACTCTAGCCAGAAAAAAATTAAACAATGAAACCTGTGAAAAACATACGATTCTGATTTGAATAGTGTTCTAAAATAACAATCGATATCAATGTAATATTATTGTTACTCCAATTAGTATTCAAAATGATACTATTTTTTAATTATATGTGAGAAATGTTTTGGAAATGGTATTTACTTTAATATCATCCTCACTAATTAAATTCACCTGATGTTGTTTTATTTGTATCTTCGATCGTTATTTAGGATTGCAATTGATCAGTCTCATGTTGGAGTATTTGAATCCTGCGCGGATTGCCTCGACATAGCCTTAAGTCACGAGCTTTTTAAGCAGAGATGGATAGTGGCTAGCAGTTGATTACAGGACGCGCGTTTCGTCCTATTTGGGACTTGTCAGCTGCATGTACCTGCATGAGTCTCGGAGTTAACATCAACTCTGGGATGCGAGTACATCCAGCTGACGAGTCTCAAATAGGACGAAACGCGCGTCCCGGATTTCAGTGCCAACCACTATCCATCTTTGCCTAAAGATCGTCACTAGTTTTTGTCTACCTACATGGAAGTAAATAAAATAAATTGTTTAGTTGTAATTTTTTTTCTATTTCCAAGTTTGTCAGTTTATATGAAGCCAGCAGTTACATCGAGTGTTGAATAAGGTCAGTTAATGATTACATTCTGTTTAGATATAACATTTTTTGTGATTTGGGAAAAAAACCGAAATTTCCCTCTACTTTATTTATTTGTAAAATTAGTTCAAGTAATTTGACTTATAAAAATATTCTACAAAGAATTATAGCAGCTCACATGCAATTGAGTTTATTCACATTTAATATGGTTAATCACTTTTGTTAACCCATTTAACGGACAGAGTCATTCGTACAATAAAAACTTAAATCATTATACCTTTATTATTGTTGCACTTATATGAATATGTATGTTTGAGCATTGCTTACAGCCTACGCATATACTCATTGTGCTAGCTTTACTATTAGTGGCTTAACTGATTCGATCATTCATTCATGTCACTATGTATATACATGTACATTTTATTCCTGTTCACTTGCTCGCTCATTCGACTCTCACGTTCACTCGCTTGCCCTCTTGCTTTTCGGCACTACTCTTTCATGCTCGCTTAGCGTACCTGTAATTTTGGTGATCTCTGCGTGGTGTAATAATAAACTTAGTCAACACTACGGATTCGCCTTCTGATTAATACACCGTTGGGACGTTATCTAGTGACGGTTATCAGGACGAACAGTATACGAAGTTTAAGGATTACACTGAATATCGACCACCACAGAATAGTCTTGGTTAGTAAATCAACTGTTTAGATATTAAGGTATCATCCTTCCACAAAACGAATGAAAACTTTTTTCTGAAATAAAAATAAACTAATCGGTTATTTAAAACAGTTTTATGTCGTATTACATAAAATGAAGCATATGACAAGCTCTTTGGAATTATTTAATTAATATCTTAACAGGATTAGTTTTATCAAAAGTGATTTACATTGATATAATACAATTACATATGTTTCATAACATTTTACTTTCACAAATCATAAAGATACTGGGATCTATGAATACAAGATTAAATCAACTAACTATTATTGGCTTTCATCTCATTTAGGATCCTAAATAAATATCCATTACAAAACAGATTTAAACTAAAACAAAATAGCCGTTCGCTATCATCTGGTTAGCATAAATATGTTTAGTTGTGATCCCCTTATAATGAAAATTAATCTCGAGATGAACAATTTCAACAAGCTCCGTATTCTAACATTCAAATTTTTAGAAAATTCTTTTTCTATGTAGTCATTTACCTGACTTCTTAAATCCGAATGCTTTTACTTGAAATTTTCATCTGTTCTGTGAATCCATGTTTCAAGAAATTACATTTATTTAATTAGTCTTGTATGACAGGCTAGACAGAATATACACCATATATACCACAGAATTTCTAAGTATTATTATTATTATTATTATTATTATTATTATTTAGTACTAACTCCTACTGTTATTTGCAAGAAAACAATGGAAATTAGTAAGAACAATAACCAATGCTTTTGAAATACACATCATGCTAAATTACATCGTGTTTGCTTATGATAGACACACTAAAGATACAAATAAATCAGTTTCTTTCTTTCCATATTATTAATTTTGGTTCATTTACATGTTCCAATTTTCGGACATCATTTTAGTACTAAGTTTATATTCGATTGTGTCCGAAAGCTAATACTCTAGTCATAAAAAGCAGAATAAATATATACATGTCTTAGGTTATTTATGACACTTACTTGCATACAAGTAAAAAAAATATATTGATACTATAAAATCACGTATTATCAGATAGGTAGAATGTATTATAAAGATTGACATGGAGTAGAATAGCTGGTACATGTTTCATATTACACTTATATATTGGATAATGTAATGTATATTCATTGTTAGATTAAAAAAGGTATAACAATCTGTGACGGAATTTCGAAGAGTAACTGTCTATTTTTATATCGAACTGATTTACTGGCTAATTAGAGTTTTTATCAAAAAATGGGTTTTCAAACAAGACCAGGAACTGGCAGCTCTGTTAAACAGATACTCTTTAACAAAAATAATAAAACATTTCCGAATTCCAGAAGTTATATTTTCTGACATGCACCGATTAGTCAAATTACGAAGTACACTTAGTTGGTGTAAACAGTATACGGTTCTTGTACCTGTTTAATGATGGTGTACTTTATGAGCTGCATGATTTTGGTGTAAAGTTTCCATTGTTGTTCTGAATAAGCTCTCACTCGACCAGTTGTGTTTGAGTAGAGAGACTTCACAAGGTTAATATACTTCTTTGGTACTTCCTTCAGTGGCAAACACTGCCATGGAACCTCACGATCAACAGAGTCGAATGCCGCCTTAAGGTCAAGAAATACTACGATTGTGGGGCGTTTGAATGTGTGTCCATGTTCTGGGATCTAACTGTTTTTCTAGTTGTCCCTGAAAAACTTTTTCGCCGACGTACTTTTAGAGATAACACTTTCCTCATCTAAATTTCTAGGAGTTGAACTTCTACCGGGAGATTCACTTGTTGACTTAGAATATGCTGATGACATAGTTCTATTTAAAGACACTGACAAAATGCAGTTTTCTGACCACTCTAAGCAACAATGCAAGCATGTTCGGGATGCGATTCTCTCCCTCGAAATGCAAAATGTTGCTTCAGGATTGCGTTGCATTGACTTTCGAACTAATGATAGGGAGTGAAGTAATTGAGCGTATCGATCGCTTCATTTACATTGGAAGTCTCATTAGCCCTTGTGGTCTGGTGTGTGACGAAATCTCAGCACGGATACAGAAGGCTCGACTGGCTTCTGCCAACTTGCGTCATTTATGGCGTAGGTGAGATATCCGTCTATCAACCAAAGGACGTGTTTACTGCGCAGCAGTTCGTTCCGTCCTATTTTATGGCAGTGGAACATGGCCGGTAAGAGTAGAAGATATTCGTAGGTTACTAGTATTTGACCATAGGTGTCTTCGAAACATTGCTCGTATATCATGGGACCATCGAGTAAGTAACACAGTTGTTAGGAAACGGGTACTAGGTAAGGATGGCAAACCAATTGATGAAGTAGTGAAACTTCATCAGTTGAGATGGCTGGGACACGTGTTACGTATGCCCAACTACCGACTGCCTCGACGTTCTATGTTCAGTGGTATAGGAGTAGGTTGGAAGAAAGCTAGGGGTGGCCAGACCACAACATGGCACAAATCCATGAAGTCACTGACAAGTGGACTGAGTCATGTTGGTAGGTGTAGACTACCTGGTTGGGGACCGCGAGATGACAGCAACCGATGGTTAGAGACCCTGAATGACATGGCTCAAAATCGTTTGCAATGGCGCTGGTGCATACACTCTTTGTGTTCTCCCAAATTTTGATCTCCTTGTCGCTTTTTTTCTCTTCCCAAATTTGTTTCACTATATTATACTCTTTGAATAACATCTCCAAACACTAATTTTCCCGATTACTGCTTATACTCTTATTGCCTCTACCACTACGGGATTTGAATCGACCACTGCATCTGTGTGCTAATGTGGTGTGGCAACTCGAACTGATGTAAGTACGTACGAAGTTCTACGTTGTTACTGACTGACTGACATCATTATTTTAAAGTCCTACTTCTTTAAGATGAATCTTTGTGTTATGAAACTATCCGAAAGTTAACTTAAAACAAATCGCTTGTTAGATACTCTGATAACTAAGCACCTTGAATTGTCTCTTACATACTACCTATATCACTGTTTCTTTCACAGCTTGATAGGTAATGAATAGACGCTCATTCACCAATTAAATAGAAGGCTAAATTAACACGAAAACAAAGCCATATGGATAGATATGATTATTTGTCAAATTGAAAGGATCAATTTTACGAAATCCAGGTGCCAGGAATGCAAAAAACATTATATATGAAAATTATGCTTGAAATAATCTTAATGACCCAAGTTAAAGTGGTTTAAGAGTTTAGTCCAGCAAACTATTTCGAGCTTTTATAGTCAATACTGTTAACTCCCTTTTCAATCAATGTTGAAATCTTATTACGCAAACCAAAGGTCAAAATTTTAATTACTTACATTAGTGAAATTGTATTTACTTATTTATCATAGTTACCACCCATTAAATCCTCAATATTTTATCACCTTAGTGTCTATGTGTTACACGTAGTTGGTGTATATTTTTTCCCTCTTTCATTCCAATTATATTCTTTACTAAATGTTGAATAGATCAGATGACAGAAGAGTACGCTCATGATAAATACAAGGCCAAAACCAAGATATTTTTATCTTGCAGTGATCACAATATCTTTAGACAGGTGAGCCAAAATTCAAAGGTCCTATTTCTCGACTTTTGATGATTTAAAGTGTAGGGTCGCCATCGTTCAGTGGAGTCACTGACAACTGTTTGAATCTCCATATGGCTTGTTTCAAATGTGAATGACACTAGAATATTGGGAGTACTTTTAAAAGCCTATATGTTATCATTATTATTATTTAAATGAGTGGTTCGTGAAAATTTGTTCAGGCTAGAATGAGTTAATCCTCCAGGGTTATCAACGGTTCTCAAACTGAACTAATTCAGTGATAAAATATGTCTGAACAAACCAACTATCTATAAATAGACGACAAATAAATTTAATTTGAATTTCATGAATATAAGTAATCTACTTTGCAATTGTTAATTATGTCAGTTTGTTGAAGTGATAGTTTGGTAAGTAGTGAATAAATAAACAAAATATAATTAATTTATTTAACTCAATATTCATATGAATTTACATGTATTAATGAACCTACTTTATATTCAGATTTATCTTTTCCTATACTCATTTCTTCTAATTGATGACAAAGTACACTACGTTCGTGTAACATAAAAGATAAACGACGCTGTAATAAATCTAGCTGACAATCTCTTTCAGATAATTGTAATAATAAATCCTCGACTGATGTTTCTCTATTTTCAGTCTAGAAAACAAAAAGAAGTTTGTGAAAATAGTTGATAATACTTATATAGTTTTTTTAAATCAAAATAATTTTACAATCATAGTGTTTAAAACTGTAAGAAATTTAACGAGCTGACATTTAAGTATCATCAATATAATTTACTGAAACCGCAGTTCAGTACTTATTGAACAAGATTCAAGTTATCATTATCGAATGAATATAATTAACAAAACGTTTTGTAAGGTGTTTCTGGGTAAACTTAATCTATCACGTCGGTTAATTAGGATACAGAGTAAACACACTAATGTTCTGATAAAAGCTCGAATGTATTATTGAAATACAAAAATTAACTAATATGAAAGATAACAAATGAAAAGTATGTTAAGAAACGCTTACTAACCAATGAGTACAAGTTGGTCCTTTAGCAACAAAAATTTCTTTGAAATTTCAAAAACGTTAAAAGATTGTATCTTTTATGTAAATATTGAAAATCAGTTCTTATTAAATTTGCATGAATTTGTACTAGAAAGCTAACAGATTACTTAAATTTGATTAATCTAACTCATGAATAAACTCTTCAGTTAGATTCTTATTCAAGCAGTGAGTAGACAAGAACTTCTAGAATCTTATTTCTATTCGAGACACTTTTACTACTTTTAAAAACAACCAGAGTTTCATATGAAAATGACTTGTAATCGACAGGAAATCAATTGTAATGTACTATTGATCGATCAAATTCTTCACTTTTCATAATGTATAGAATTTTGTTTTTGAAATCATAATTCTCCACTTCGATAGCAAAAAAGCTCATAAGTGACCGTCAGTTTGTAGGAATACTTTTCACTATTAAACAGTTTACAACTGTTTTCATGATTATGAGCTAAGATGTATCGTCGCTAGCAGTGGAATCAAAGAATTGTGTTTAGCCCTATTTGGGACTTGTCGGTTAGAAGTACCTGCATCACACAGTTGATACTCACTCCGGGACTCAAACCCATTACCGTTCGCTTCAAACACCATCGTGTTATCCACGTAGCTACTGAGTCCTGATGGACACTTGTGCAATGGGGAGAAGTTTAAATTCATTTTGTGTTGTTTGTTTGAATCTTTCCTCTGATGTTCAGGTCTGTAATTGATCATTCTCTTATTGGCATATGTGAATCATGTACGGATTGCCTCACTATTGCCTTAAGTCGCAGGTATTACAATACCAAATGTACCTTTATGATTATAATATAGAAATAATCAAAAAAATTGTTTTGCAAAATCTAAATGTATAACAAACTAGCATAAAATGAACTTTGTATTGTCTTGAAATACTTGATGAAATGTGTTTTTAAAATATGAAAAGGAAAGAGTCACAGATTTTCACTACCAAGTTTTGTTCTTACTGATAACCGGTAAACAATTATTCCTGTTATGAAATTAATGTTATTAACCAATAATATTGAAATTAAGTATGATTAAATCTGTTTTTCTCGTTTTATTATGTATCATGTAGGAAAGTTGAAGGAGAACTGGTTAAATTATTTATCTTAATATTTCATATTTATTGAAAACGATAAGTTAAAAATACGTTGTACAAGCTGTACAAGACCTGTTATGTGTGTGTGTGTGTGAACATTTACTTCATGCTAATCAGTGCAAGTTGTTAACATTAACTCTGATTTATTCAGAAATTTCATCACTGAATAAAGTAAGCAAATTAAGCATCAACTAGTCTAATTCATTAGCTGGGTGTAAACGTTTTACCTAACTCCAAGTCTAACTTGTTATGATGACAGGTATTAATGTGATCACGAGATTATGACCTTATTGAGACAGTTAGATAAGAAATATAAATTGTAATTCAATGAGCAGAAATAAAATTTTTGGACTAATCAACCATCCACTCACAAATTATTTATGTTACGTAATAAGTAATCAAGCTATAAGTTGAATAATAAATATAGATTTTGTTATATCCTAATGAGTAAAAAATTGTATTTCTGAGGTTTCGTGACTTAATATAAGTCATTTCTTCAGAGTAATTAAAAAACGATACCCATAAACTTGAATGCTGGATAGTTTTCTGATAATATATTTGTACATTTTTGTAATTACCTCTGTACTAAAAATTAAGCTTGCTTGGAGAACGGATGAACAACATATCGTTTGTAATTTCTCAATCGTATACATTCAATGTAAATGAAAAGCGTTGTTCAGTGTTCCTCTTGGCTCTGAATCATTCCCCTAACAATCTATAGTTAGAAGTTATATTATTTAAATAATTTCATACTTCACGAGAAAAACATTTATTTATAACAACGTAAACATTAAACAACAAGTAAAGAAATATTACTAACATTTTGTTTGCATGAACCACACTCAATATTTTCATTTGATGCTAAAATAAATAGAAATGAAACAAATAAGAAGAAATAGTAAACGTTTAAAGTACAAAGCAATAAATTACGTGTAATATGTTATGCTATTATATATATATTGGTTGAGGGTACTCGGAAGATAAATTAACTCCGAAAACTTACTGCAACCAACATAAGTCATTAAAACTGAAAAAAGAAAATTGTTAATTGATCAATTCTGATTCGATTAACACAAAAATGAGTGCATATGACAACAGCTATTGCGTAATCACAAGTATATATATATAATCCGACGATACACATTTATCGATATGAAACCTTCTAAATTCCCAAAAGCATATTCGCAAATCATCACTAAGACTTATTGAATAAACTTCCATAATTATTTTATATCAATAACTATTATAATCAACAGTGAATAAATTGATTATTTTGTACTAACTAGGACAACCCATTTAAAAAACTGAAATGGGTAAATTCTAGTCAATAATTGAGTAATTCAACATTTTAGTTTCTAATCAATCTTATAAATATATTCAGTGATAAGTAATAGTCTTGAAAACCGTCATTGTTGTACTCAGTTTAATCACTTGAACATATTTCTACTGAAAGAATAAACATTATAAATACGATGTTTTAACAGTTTATTGATATGAATGATATAAATGTTTTCAAAAGCAGACTAAAAATTTGTAAACATTTATCACATCACCAGTTGTTAAAAATGGAGAATGCAATCGGTCATTCGTTGACGTTTGAAATCATAGGTACATAGTGTGACTTTTATTATGAATATCAGCAATGGATTTTGGATACATCTAGTTGGTTAATCGCAAATGAGATATCACTGTTAGCTACGATTTAAATACAGTATAGAAAATAAAAATCCCACAACACTGATGTATGTAACAAGAATTTACATTAAGGTGTTAGGATTGATTTCATTTCGAATCGATATCGGTATTACAACGATTAGGAAACAATAATTTGGTTATTTTCTAAAAGATAATGATATAGACCAAAAAATAAGAGCTGTTTTCTCCATCAAAATAAGAATTCGGAAAATATTGACCTCTGAACTACAACAGTGCTCAGGTTCATTTCGATAACTTGAAAAGTTCTCATCAGATGCATATAGTCGGCAATACTTTAAAATCAGAACTTAAGGTAAATTTCAACCTAATTATAACAGTTGGGTTGATGAAACACTGTTAACATGAATATACATCAATATGGTGTAGTAAAAGACTAATAAAATCGAATCGCTTAGTTAAAATATAGCAAATAAATATCATGTTTAAAAAAACGTTCTGAAACATCACCGAGGATAGTGCCAAAAGACTATAGCCCTGAGATTTTAACCAGTTGCACAACGAAATAATCTTGCTGATCCATCATTGATGTCATCTAAAATAACTCATTAGTTTTAACCGAAGTCAAGTAAAATATTCTCACAAATGACCAAAAGATTCTATAAAACAACAGAATGTCTATGTATAGCTAGTCATTTAATTTCACTAGCCTAACACTTTTCTAACTAATACCAACTTCAAACAATCGATGACTTCCTACAACACAAAAGTAGTTGAACCAAACAGTATTCTAAAATATTATTTGACAGAAAACAAAGTGCATTCGGATCTCTCTCAAGAAAAATACAAGCTAGGAAAGTAGTAGAGAAAACTGGTTTTCAACATAAATAAATCCTATGAAGGTCATTAGTGGTACAGACAGTTAGGTATAATATGTTACTGTCGTTTTTACACCATACGCAGTATAACCAATAATCATAATTAGGATCGATTAAACTACCATGCACCAATCGACTATTGTGACAGATAAAACAGAAAGCATTTTTCTTCATCAAATATCAGAGAAGTAACAAATAATTCGGTAGTAAATAGGAAACCGCAATTATTCATGCATGGATATGTATAAAATAAACGAAACGTTTTACTAATTGAATAAAAAATATATGAAATACTTTATTATTTCTGCATTCCAGTTGTATATTTCTACTTTGAACAGATTTACAAAATATTAGTTAGATCAGTACACTGTAGCAATTATAAATCAACTATGGCCACAAATATGAATTGAACATCCTTCATTAGGCTGTTAATTTATTAATGACCAGAAAGAATCTCAATGTTGTGTCAGAAAAAAACTATCAACAAGTCATAAGTTTAATCCATGTTTAATAATATCTATTAAGCATAACGTAAAAAAATAAGCTGAAAAAATCCGCCGAATATATACAGAGCCCTGTCTAAGGAGGCATTTAGTCGTTGATTGATATTACTACTGAAAAGTGGCTATTCTATGAGCTTAAGTAGTACGATTTGTCAGTTTTTCATCAGAATATGAGCTGATTGAATGCAACAACTCTAAAGTACTTTGATCTACAAAAGCTTGAAACATGAAAATAATCAATAAAACGACAACTGATAAAACCACGAGTTTGCTTTTTTATACAACAATCGTGGATAGTAATATAAACTATATAATTGAACTCCTTTTCTGTGGGACAGCCATAGATGTAGAAGCATTCAAAACTGTGAAGCACTAGAGAGTTGTTTCATCTTAATGTGAGATTCGTTGGCATCTTGTACTTATAACTTCATTTTGGATCGAAGCCAAAACGTTCACGTCTTATGGTGAACATAGGATATTTGGATGTTGAGTAGCAAACTGAATGATCCATATTTTCAAAGTCAAAGAATTCGTGAAATTATACGACTGTCATCCAGTCCCATTAGTTATGCCTGACTAATTATTAATAACCTTGAATCAACTGGATTAAGCCTTTTCTTAGGAATTATGGAAATTTATTTAGAAGTTAGTCATAAGTTGACACATTACTTGGTTGTATAGATAAGCTCAACTTTGAAACTGTGTTACCCATCAAATGATGTCAGATAAAATGAATCAAGAGCACTTCAGAACTGTCAAATCCTAGTTTAAAACGTTTAAGCAGTATGTATTCATCCTCGGAAGCTTCAAGTCTGGTAGTGAGAACGTTATCCTTGAAACCCCTAAACGTCAAATCGAAAATTCGATATTCCCAATTAATAGGAAATTGTGGCATCCTTGCTAGTCTTTTAGTATCAACTATCAAGTAAGACTAGTCGCTTATCGTAGCATGTATTAAGTTAGTATCTGTGATACTGTAGTATCATGAACAATGAAAGAATCTTCATATTATTACTGATCATGCTTTATACATTACCATTCAATGCATATTTTCTATTGTTTACCTTGTGGTCTATAATTATTTGTACAAGAAATCGGATCAGTGCGTTCATCATGTTGATTATCTCGAATACACCATAGATTAGAAATTTCTTTTCTTAAAAGATCATTTTCTTGCAAAAGTAGAAAATTTTTATGCGATAAAATTTTACACTTTGACCAATGTTTAGTATTCGATTCAAACAGATGGCGAATCTGTCGTAAATGAGAGAAAAAAGAAACCAAAAACATTTTATTCCATTGTGTATATTCAATTGAATAAAAATGGATTCATAATGTATACGAAATACTCAATTCATCACTCAGTAATTTATTTTTCATGTTACCTACCTTTTACTCTCTTTTAATCTTCCACTGTCTCTATGTTCTTTTGAACCAAAATTTAACTCGTAATGCAAAGTCAATAGTCTCAAGTGAAATCTATTTGAAATTGTAACTATTGACGCTAAGTACTAACTAAACATAATAGTACTACGTTATTTGTTGTGGATGATTTAATTACGAAGCCTATTGGGCAAGATTGTTGACTATTATTACAAGCAGAACCGTTGAATCATTCTTATCTAAAAACAGTAACAGTGATTGATTATATTCAGAGATATTTGTTATCTTCATATGTGTTTACATCCTTATTGACTGTTTTGAGAAATTAATCTTTGACAATTTGAATAATAGATATTTATTTTACAGGTAAATAGAATGACTGTATGTCAAGACGCGTCTGTTGACTGACTCCAACGAGTTAATTTAATTTAAAATAGGCAGTGACAAAATAATCTAAAACAACAGTGTGAGTCGTCGCCGAAAAAATCCAGATCACACAATACATGACTAATAAAAGTATACATTAGAGTTAAATATTTCCTTAAATTTCCTTAGCTAATCTGTTCCCTACTATAATACGCCGAAAGTAGTGTAGTGAACGAAGACTTGTTGGTGATAATCAAATCATTGTTTTACGTAAAATTACAGAGCGTCTTGGTAAAATATAAAAACTATGGACTAAATACAATATTTGTACATCTTCAGTTGTCGTTTAGATGATTCATGACTTTCAATTCTGTTGTTACTGCAATTACCTTCTGTTTATATTCTCATCAATTATACCTTCTCGATCATCTACTTCCAGGCATTTCACTTCCGATTGGTGCTACATACTACTTACATCTGTCAAAATAAATAGCACACACCACAGAAGTATACAACTCACAAAATCTTTGAAACAATTCTAATCATTTGTTGTTACAATGTGCTTATAATCGCCAATAAATCAACCATATTATTTTTGATTGTGAATCTATTTAATTCCTAGACAAATACGTAACTGTCGAGTTTTTTTGACTTACAGTCACTTATTCAAGAAAACTGAGTATGACAGCTTCAAATTTTATGAGGTTAAATTTCATTTTAAAAATACACATAAACAAGTGTAGAAAAGCAGAAAATTATCACTCTACATTTAGTCTACGTTTTGATACTGAACTTATATTTTTTTTGAAAATAGTTTTTGTCTCAGGATAAAATCAGCTGGTGAATCGGTGGAGAATCAATGAGGACTAAAGAGTTATTTCATTATCATTTGTGAAACTTTAGAAGTTCAAACCTACGAGACCATACATTAAAGACTGATTTTAAATGCTCATAAGTGAGTAGTTCAAAATCACAACAAAAGTAGCCGCCTAATGTTCCCATAATCTTCAACGGTTCTTTTGTTGTTGTAAGTCCGTTAAGTAACTTATCCTTCTGATTAATTGGTCACTAGAAATCATCTAAATAAACAACTTTTTGACGAATGATTTAAGAATTTACCCAGTAAAATAGTGGGTTTTACAAATATACCGGGCAAAACCTAACTCTTTAATCAGTATGTTTAACAATGACACATTACTTCCCTGCTGTTGCTATAATAACATTTAAACCGTACTGATCATAAAGTTATTTGCCATTAATAACGCTAGATCATCATTCTAGTGCGGCGTAATATAAATAAACTCTAGCTAAATAATGAGCTCTTTCACAAAATTACCATTAAGGAATATTGTTTGATTGTCTGATGACACAACCTAATAAATGAGTTGAAACACAATGAATGACAATCTATGATAAGATTATTTTACGAATTATAACAACCTCCTAAGTACCATTTGTATGTATTAAACCTCTAGTTATATGTTGCGAAGGTTATATGTAAAGCGATCAGTAAGAAAATTTGAAAATATACTGGATGAATAAAATAGCTAGTTCATGTCTGCGTAACTTATTTTCATCAGTCAAAGTAATAGTCAATAAAATTCATCTGAACATCATTCCCATAAATATTATATGTTAACATGTTATACGTCTAGTGCTTATTCACTGAAAGATTTTTACCTATTCATGTCAGTCAAAGAAAAAAATCTATACTTATAAGCATCGGAAACTAATGCATCACACCCTCAGATACATAGGGGTTATTTCTAGAATTCAGCACCCTATCCTGCTACCAGTTATTCGCTTAAATATACTGTTTTTCTCTTAAAAACAGCCTAATGGCATGGGAAACAATCTGTCTTTTTTCTACGAAGCAAAAGACGACGAAATCCATGCTGATTTAAACAAACACTATTCATTCTCTGTTTCTCTATCCTGATTTGTCCTTATACTTATGCGTATACATGTGTATGTTTGCGTTCATCACAATTTTGTGCCCTGTTTATTTACCAAACATAGATGGAAAAATTTTTATCATCCCTTTTTTTAAACATTGACTTTCAAGAATTAGTTTAATACTGACAAAAATTTAACTAGAACAACACATGAAAGCAGACAATATTGTTTTATTTAGATCACCATCAGGCTTTATTTTGGCATGAACAATATGCGTATTACTCTTCACACCACAAAACTGTCAGATGGAGAGTTTGAAACTTAGTACTTCTGCACAAACCAGTTGTTAAGAGAAATTTTTAAGATGTCCTTAATTTCATTATCAAAGTGGGAGACGTAAATGTTTGTAAAAAACTTATGGCTGATTTAGATATTGTACCTTTATTCACCAGTGTTTCACGATTGAGTTTAAATGCAAACAAAATTTAACATTGGCTTCCCTGAACATAGTCTTGCAAAACTGCTTTTCAGGAATAAGACGAATATCCACTTTCTCGTCGACAATATTTATAATAAAAAATTTAACTGAACAACTACGGCTTCATCTTTGAACCCGATTTCAGTTACTTTCTTTCTAACCAAACTAGAGAGTGGAACCCTATAGGAAGTGAACGAGAAATTCGATTTACACCTTCATTATATCGACGATATAATTACCATTTTCTATATGAATATCAATAGAGAATTACTGAGTCAATTCAACAATGTAGATTCGAAGATCACATTCACCTGTGAGAAAGAATTTGACAACATATTTCATGTTCTCAACGTCTTAATAAATCAATGACTTGTTAAGCAAAAGCGTGTATAGAAAGAGATCCTTTGTGTGTCGACGCACGCACTTATTAATCTTACACTCACTCTTTATGAAAAAAAATATACTTAGATGACTTACAAACAGAACAAATATAATCTGTTCAGACGACACCGTAAAGGAGTTAGAATTCATCAAAGATATGTTGGTCAAAATACGACACCCTTAGGTCCTTTTGTAGAAGCACGTGAGTACAGTGAATAAGAAGTTTAATATTTATCAATAGATCAAAAGAAATTCCTCTTTCTAACAATACACTTCTACTTGGATGTAGCTAACGATGTCCTAGATAATAGACTTGAGAGCGGTTGAACAAGATTTCTATCCAGTTAATCTTCGTCGTCTTCCAGCCGACTACTGATATTTATTCAAACAAGGGACATGTTGTTTGATTTCACTTCTTAGATGTGCATCAACAAGTTCACTTGCTACTGTGGAGAACATTATATTGAGCATAACACTAATAAACTTAGCCAAACAATTAGTGAACATCGCTATGCATGGTTTAGAAACGGTCAAATAAAGACAAGATATAGCTTTATTTTATTAACAGTCGTCATGTACTTGGTAAAACTAATGCATTCCAAGTAATCACCTTCATAATTGGATTTGATCTCATCTCCAAAAAATGCTAGAAGCTGTGGGGATTCTGTTGTGAAGTGTGACTGCAGATTAGACTCTCAGCGTATCTATCGATCGGATCAATGACACGTAAAACACGTACGAGCAGCCTAGAGTCCTGATTGGCCTTGTTTCACTGTCTAGCCCAGCCAGTTGAGTCCAGCACACAAGTCCCAGCTTCTGAGTTATGTATCGTTATATTTCAAACATACTATGTTTATATACCAATCAACCAGACCACATCGTACCATAAAATAGAAAACAACATTTGTACAAAATTTGACAAGTGAAATAAATATTGACCAATAGGAAATGTCCATTTAGAGTCCAAGGACACTATTAGACTTAAGATGATAATTATTGGTTTATTTTTCTGCACATCCTAACAGATTCGAACTAACAATCCCAATCTATTTATTTAGAAGAAATCGATATCTTTTTTGGTTGGATAAGATGATAAACAGTCTAACTAATTTCTTCGTATTCTTTGCTTTACTTCGCCGCCCTTTTGCATATCTTCATCACTATCTGATTGGTGTAGTAAACATGCAGTTAGTTTGATAATTTTAATTTTCTTCAACTATTTTCTCAAGTTTCGACCTACTTTGCACTCCCAAAAATTTGTTTAATTTTTTATTGTTACTTTTATTCTCATTGCCACCAGTACACTTGTTTTTTTATTAACAATTTATAATGAGGCTATAATTTATAGACGACTTTCGAGCGATGCTTAAGTGACCTTTACACTGCCAATGTCCATCTACTCACCAGGGCTAAATGTGGGTTATATATCAGTATGATGAATTGAGACTATCATCTACAGTTGATGGTTAGGAATAATATTTAGGGTGTTCATCACAAACTGACACCAGCTAAAAGGCCAAGATAATAGTTAGCCAAATGGATGAATAAATTTTCTGTCAAAATCCAAGATCTGTTGTGCTAAACCCGATTATAGCTTCGCCCAATTTATAGTTTTCATTTATTATGTTTATTCACGTAACTTGTCTCAATGTTATCGCTAACTCATTAACTTCCTTGATTGATTTAATATTTTCATATATGCATATAAATATTACAGTTTATAAGAGTAAAACTTAATGAGGATCTAAATAGAAACCATATTGTTCACTTTAATGTGTTATTTTTAATTTAAAAATTTACTTTTTTCTTAACCTGATTTGATCATCTTGAATATCTAATACTTTATATGTATGTAATGAAGACGATTCATTTTTTGATGTTAATATTTTAGGAAGAATGTGATCAGTGACTATCGTAGCATATGAACTTCATGAAAGGATACTTCAATATTACTGCTCAAAATTTTCCACACTTTTAAAAATTTACTTACCTTTTTAGCTTAAATAAAATGTTTTCTTTAAATAAAAAAACAGGCTTTAAAATGCTCCTATTAATCCCTGTAAAATATCTATGCGCAAATGGTCTAACATGAAATTTACTCACAACTGATTGATCACTGGGTGGTGATCAATGTCATGGTTGTCTAGTCTTTATTAGTGCAGATCGAATGCTATCGATCATGTTGCAGTGTGGCCACCAGTCTAGGTGACTCGACACTGCTCGGATAGCTCAGTGGTAACGTCTCTGACTGTGAAGCTGGGTGACACGAGATCGAATCCGCCAGGGAGAACCAGTTCCCTCAAGATTACAGGTACACCTAGCTGACGAGTGCCAAGTAGCACGAAACCCGGGTCCAGGGTTTCCTGTTGACTACCTCCAACCACCATCTAAATGAAATTTACTTTATTAGCTGGTTAATTGATTTCGTATCAACTGCTTACAATATTTCATAGTCAAGTATCACAATAACCAGTAAAATTAGCCACGATTTAATTTAATAGAAATGAAGTTAATTTCTCATTAACATGAACAGTTATCAAATCAGTGCTTTTTTATTTCAGATTTATTGAAGAAATACTAAGCATTAATTGATATCCATTATGAACAAAACTTTTAGATTCCAATTTAATAAAAAGAAAAATGAATACATTAATCAGAAATCATAATGATTTACCTCCTGTTCTAAATTCATACATTGATTCTTCCACCAACGGATTGTTGAATACAATTCCAGTAATTGTGTTCTTATAGGCTAAGGATTGAAATAGATACGCAAAAATACGTAGTAGTAGTAAATAGATGACTATATTTCTTCAAAAACGTCTAATTTATTAAAAGTTTTCTTTAAAAGCAAGAAACTTTCAAGAGCATGTTCAATAGGTTGGCTATCAGAATATGAAAGCCATACTGGAACCTTTTTATACACTTTTGTAGAATTAGTATAAGCAACTAATTGAGTTACCGAGATTACTGTTTAACTTCTTAATAAAAAGATAAATAAATAAAAATGAAATGATAACAAAAGTATTTGACTAGATAAGTTTTTAAGCAGTATCAGATAGTTATGTTCCGATTAGTCTACAACCACACAATAGTATGCACCTATGAATCCATATAAAATTGAAGTCTGGACTTTATAATATTATGGGAACACTCGCATGTAATTTTAAATCCGAACTAAATATATATTTGTTATGGTCTTTTGTTTATAATAGTTACATAGTTGATACTTATCGGTGATGAATATCAGCTTTATAATGAACAATCTTCATATTCCTTCATCCAATCGTATCTAAAATAGTTTACACCAATCCATCCTGTATTACCTATCAGGGAATTTTATTTTACGTTATTTTTTCCCAGATCCTGTTTGCTGATATCTGGATTGTTCCCAATGTGCATTGGATGTGTTGTGTTTAGAGTACCATACTTTACAATCATGTCATAAGTTGTAGAGAGCGATTCACACGGTTTATAATTAATAATAATTAAGGAATAATAAGTCGTATAACAAATGTCAATAGGTCTGCTGGAAGCTTATAATAGGGAGAGTATATTAATTTAATAATACACTTATCTACTAACTATGTAATCAAAATGCGAATAATAGTAAATCATAAATTAGTCCCAAGAGTTAGAATTTCTTCTATATTTGCCACACACAATAAAGTTGGTATCCAATAATTGTCTCGTACCTTTATAGTTTTCAATGCTCTTTCATCTGGCACCAATAGTCCATGCTCAAAACAACCTTCATATTGTTTTTAAACTCGATAAAAGAAAGATCAAGAAATTGATAGCAACTTCTTAGTTTAGTACATTAGGCATGTAACTAACAGTGGAAACCAGCGAGTGTGTTTCGACCTTTCAGAAACATGTCAGCCGCATCTACTTCCATTTCAGTGTTCAGATTGTAACCTAGTGCCCAACTCGTCCCACATTGATGCGTTACTCATCAAGCTACATGGGTCTAGATACTCATTAACTTGTTCACTAGATGTGGAGATATTATAAAGGTTTTGTAATTTCCCATTGTTAATATTCAGGACTGTCGATGATCGTATCTTTCTAACTAAATTAAGCGTTCACATATAAATTTACTTACATATAAAAACAAGAGAACTAGAGAGTCAAAAAAATACTTAACCAATAAATGGAAAAGCTAACAACTACCATTTTAAATTTAGAATAAAAAAGTTGACGGGTAAACTGACAGGTAAACTGAAATATTTTACTAACTTTATGTATATCAACTGTGTAAAACAAAATTGAGCTTTTGCGCTTATAGGTTATAGACATAAATTTCAGAGTAAATTTATTTCTTTGAGAATCACTCAGGGTATTTGAACTGCTTGTTTTAATAAAGAAAATCATTTTCATTATTTCTACTTTTGATCTAATTGCATTTATCTGTCTGTTTTGAGTTTTTAAAAATATTCTCACTATTGTACTTATACGTTCTTCCACAAGTCAATAAAAGAGGGGAATTTAAGCATTTTGATAGTTCAGATTGTAGTTACTTTAAATTTTACACTTTACATTTTCGAAATACTATTTGTATGACCCAAATGCTGCCACATGTTTACAGATATGGCAAAGCACCAAAATGTCATGATGTAATTCAGTTTTCGATGAAAAGCTGAACCGATGAAAATCGATCGTCATCACTGCAATCGAATCGGCAGACATCATTGGTTAAATTGAAAAAGTTGGGAAACACTGACTAAAAATAATCAGAGAATGAGTGTCAGACTTTAAAAAATTAGGGCGTGGTCGTTATTGATTTACTAACTCTTCATAGAAAGTTCGTCAGAATTTCCATAAGAACTCGGCATTTAATATATAGACTCGATGGTAGCATAACAAAATAACTAACTGATTCAGTCACGGCTCCATACATTTATTTGAACTGTCGTGCAGACAAAAATTCAAGAAGAGCTTCTGTGACAAATAAACTGGTATTAATTATTGTCAACAAAAGCAGGGAACTAAATCCAATTACCATACTATATCTGATGCAGAACACGTTTGCAAAGCACATTTCTAATACCAAAATAAAATTGCTCAGCATCTACATTAATATACTAGGTTTTTGAATAAAACACAACTTCAATATTTCTTTAGTGAATAACACTTTGAATAGTAGAGGTGAGTGTAAACAGGATAAAATAGTTATAGAAAATTAAATTAAATACTTCTAGTACTCACTTGATTATTATGTGAAAATCCAGTTGACTGACTTCCAATATCTTTTGATCTGTTTCGTTTTTCAATAGCTTGAATAAATAGAAACAATGTAAATCGAATAGACTCAAAGATCGTGCGTCTGTACACATATACTACTTACTTTCCGTAGATAAATATAACTAACTGAAAATTTTTTAATGCTTCTTAGTAGTTTATTCTTTATTCATAAAAATAACCACTAGAAATTCAGGACCTACAGTGTCAACGTAGTCAGTAATGAAGCACGGTTAACCACTATCAACGAAAATAGATTTACTTGGTTCTGAATTACAAATTCACTGAAATCGCAAATTCGCATCATCGAACAGCATTAACTCAGTATCGCAATTATATTGTGCAGACTGAAGCAAATGAAAGTTCTGATTGTTTAGTCATGTGTTAGACAAGGAGGGTCATGGAAGTTCAGATGTGACCCAAACTAGAGTGAGACGGTTTTTCTGGTTGTTAGGATATTCGGAAAAATATACCAATAATTATCATCTTAAGTCTAATAGTGTCCTTGGACTCTAAATGGACATTTCCTATTGGTCAATATTTATTTCACTTGTCAAATTTTGTACAAATGTTGTTTTCTATTTTATGGTACGATGTGGTCTGGTTGATTGGTATATAAACATAGTATGTTTGAAATATAACGATACATAACTCAGAAGCTGGGACTTGTGTGCTGGACTCAACTGGCTGGGCTAGACAGTGAAACAAGGCCAATCAGGACTCTAGGCTGCTCGTACGTGTTTTACGTGTCATTGATCCGATCGATAGATACGCTGAGAGTCTAATCTGCAGTCATACGATACAACACTAGTGATCCTCAGTTTTCTTAATATCTCTCAAAATGATATCAGTCAGTGATGCTGATCATTTTAAAAAACACTTGATCCACATATAATAAAAATAACATAAGGAATTACTTATTACACTATGTGTACCGAGTTGGATGGTCAGTAAAAACAATATCTAGTTGTGAAAACCATATAAGTAGTTTATGTGTTTTTGAATATTCATGATAGTAGTCATTTCTTCATACCAGAAAAATGAAAATGCCAACTCCTTTGAACTGATCAAACAGGACATTTCATCTTATCAACCCATTGTACATCCCATGTATAAGGTTGTGAAGATTCATATTCTATTTTTTTTTAAACGTTATTTTTATCGAGAAATGAAGATATTTTAAAATTAACTAATTGAGTACTTCTGATAATATTCCTTTTAACTTATATTTATTCATGTATATCAAATTAAGGAAAGCTTTAGATTTTAAATAATAATGCTTGTGATGAAAATAAGTGGTTACATAAACAAAGTATGTTATTAGAATAAGAATAATATAATGAGGGGAATTCAGTGGATCGATACAAACTGAGATTATTATTCATTAAATGAATTAAAAGTGGATCAGTGTTTTTCTTAAACTACCGCCAGTTAAATTTGTGAATTTTTATTTAATTGTGAAAGCGCTATTCAGAAGCAACTAATCGAAAAGGCTGTGGAAGTTTTTCTGAACATGAACATTGAAACCCATACCTGAAATAAAACAATAACTTTATAAGTACGATCATCAGGTACTTTGTCGTTATTGGACTAAAGTAGATTTCATCATGGCTTTAGAAATAATACACAAACATCAAGTATACCTTACAGGGCCCATTGTCATCAAATATTTCCAACTAGACTAGTATATACAGAAGATACGGTCAACCTGCCTTTGTCTTGATAAGAAAAATCAAACTAAATAAATTTCATCCATTACATAAACATGTTCTAATCTTAATTGCACTGAGTAACATTGTTTTCATGCTTTTTACTAACTTTTCATCTTCCCTTCGAACTTTTTCTGCAGCTTCATTAACTAGAGTTTCCCAAACTTTTACTTCTAACTACGTAGGTCGTTTATATCGTTTTCTTTTGATGACAGGCCATTAAAAAATAATTTATTTTATGACAAATTGTGCTATTCTTGCTCAAATTGAAATTTGATCACTTACATTACTGTACAAATCTCTTGGCAATTGATTTTAGAGTAAAACCTTGAGTGAATAATAATTGAAATATAAAGCAACAAGGTAAAAATACTTGAATAATTTCACTCAAAATTAAGAGAGAATGAAATTAAAATGTTACACTGGGTAGAGATTTGTTATAAGTAGTGACCTAATAGGCTTTCCAATGAATCTTTCTTTCCTATCAATTTGGAAAGCCATCGAATTTTTAAACAAAGTGTGTGCGCTTGTTTTATTGAAAAAAAAACTACACGTGATCATAAAACCAGATTATTGAAGCTATCGAAAACCGAGTGAATTTATCGAGATTTTCTAGTTTAATTTTTATTATACGATGATATCAGATAGTTTACATAAACTAAAATTATTTTAAAGTGTATTTCGATTAACTTTGAAAATTACTAGTATGACAAAACTTCAGTCCTTTTTGAGATTGAACCAGCATGCTACTAATAGCCAGGACGTGTCTGGTTACGGTTTCTCCAACAGTGTGAAAACATCATGACTAATGCTACATTTTATAATTCAGTGGGTTTGTATCGTTATATGTCATATGACAGTAAATTTTATCGTGGACTAATTGAAGATATACTAAAACCTAAGGGAAGTTTAGGTAAATTTATGCAAATTAGAGAATCCTTAGAACTTTATCCTAATGGCTGCTAAAGCGATTTTAACTCAAAACCTTGAGTTCTTTGAGCTATTAAAGTATAACTCGATCGCTCAGAAAAAACATAGAAAAACGTCTTTTCTAAAACTGGTTAGAAATAAAGACGAATGTCTACCGATAGCACAGCACAATACTTGTATCATATTACAAGTCGATGAGTATTCGGAAAAGTGAACTTCTAGACTTCGACTCAGCGAACAAATAACATCATGGTCAATGCAAGACCCAGATTTTTCTGATTGTATATCGCAAGAAGAAGAAATCCTCTGTAGAGCAGTTTTAAACTAGAGCGTTACAGTTCCCTAGTACTTTTTACTATTCAGTAATCCTTTATTTATATTAACGCATGGTACAAAACCATTTACATGAATAAGCATAGTAATGCCTTCGAAAGCAGTTCGGTTGTTATTTTCACTTGCCAACTTGATAATTAAATACTATGTTTTTAGTACGCAATTTTTCTTAATGAACATTAAAGTTAATAACCAATTCATTCATATGCAATTATTTTGCCGAAATAATACAAGTTTGTTAGATATGAAACACACACAACAAAATCACATACCGCATATATCTTGATCTGCATTCGATTCTGTTATTCCTGATTGACTAGTTTCTTGTTTCATTGAACAAATTGGATTAATGGTAGATTTCATAGTTGAAATAGAATTATACTTATGAAGTTGATTATTTGATGGATAAAAATCTTCAAGTAATTGTTGTTTTTCCAATTTTAACGTCTCTATAATTTCCGTTGCATCATCTAAAGATTTTTGTGTTGAACTCAATTTCTCTCGTAGATAATTTCTCTCGTCACGTAATGATGCCCATTTTTCTCTCCAGCTAGCTGTACAATCTGACCACCATCTCATCGTTTTTTCAAGTTGAGTAGCACGTGAACGAGCCTAAAAAATCACAGTTTGAGTCCTAAAATATGTTTTTATACGTATATATATATATATATATATATATATATATATATATATATATATATATATATATATATATATATATATATATATAATACGACAATACACATATATCACCATGGACTGATAGATTTGTACAGTAATAAAAAAATACATTTTTGAACCATTTTAAATCCCTAAACTGAAATCCTGTTCACATCACATCGAGAAATGCACTCCAAAGACCACTCCAGTCATTTCATTGACTTGAGCATTATGTGTATTATTTGCTAACAACAACAGCGATGATTTACCTGTTCATTCATTTTTTTAATTGAATTAAATTAGTTGATCACTATTTTCGACATTTATCTCGAATAAAATATCAAGATAAAAAATATTCCCCATCTATCGGCCAATCCAGATAATTGCCGTGAATGACCACAGTTGAGAAAGCAAAAAGATGTTCATATTCTCTCATTTGAATACGAACTTGGATGCTGATTATCAAAACTAATAAGTAATTGTTTTGTTATTAAACATTGCTATGGTAAAATCAGATACATGACTGAGTAATAATAAAAATAGCAAAGATCTCAGGATTTTTCTAGAATAGTTAAATACTTATGGGTGAACAAAACGCCCTCACTATTCTTGCGTCCCTCTATATAAAATACTTTGGTCGATCAAAATGGTTTATATTTTATATAGATTCATATAAAGGAGATAAATTTGAATACTGAAAAGCGTTGATATTTTTTTGACTAGAACTTACCCATATATGATGTTTAAAATGAACAAAATATTTAAAACGTTTTTCAGTGTTAGATTATTAACTTTGATAATTGATTCATTGTCAAAATAAAGTAGGAGTACATATAAAAATTACGTAGACTATTATTAAGGTTTTTCGATAGAAACATTTAGTTTAACGCTTCAAACGTCTTACAAAAAACATATTTTGAATACCTACTTCTTCCAGATCCTTGTCACGTTGTCTGCATTCTGAAGTACAGGAACGTGGGTGAGATCGATTATTAATGCATCGAGAATGCTGATCAGCAACTCTCATCGGAATGCGTCTTTAACTACGTTCAATCGAATAACTCAGTGTAATATAATAATAATAAATCTTGTTACTGTATATGGCTGAAAGACAAAAAGAGATGAAATATTTTAAATTTCTTACAAACTGTTTAATGATAACATTCAATTATCTTTGGTATATTTAGACGGTGGCGGAAATTATGTTCACCACGCAGTTTCCCTATTTAAAAATTTAGTCCTGAATATCAGTGACATCAGTAAATACAACAAATCAACGAAGACAAACACAAGTACATATAGTACTTAGGTAAATAATGAAATAGTTAACTGTAACATAAAGTGAGTATACTTTTATCGAAACGAAGTAAATGATATACGTAAAAATAATATATTTGTAATATCCCAATGAGTAGAAAATTGGATTTTCTGACGTTTCGTGGCTTAGTGTAAGTCACTTCTTCAGAGAATAAATAACCAAATTTGGTTATTTATTCTCTGAAGAAGTGACTTACACTAAGCCACGAAACGTCAGAAAATCCAATTTTCTACTCATTGGGATATTACAAATATATTATTTTTATTTATAACAATCAACCCAATGCTCAATTTATTCGAAATTATCAAATCAAACCTTGGTAATGACACCTATAAATGATATACGTTTGAACAAAACACTTGAAAATAAAACAGAATACGGATTATTCCGTTCATACGTGCACCTTTAAAAATCAATTAACTTAAAAGTTTATGAAAATTGGACTTAACGTTCTATATATATAGTGATATGCCTATTACTTAATACTATGTACTTAATGCAGTAAGAAACGGGTTAGTTTGGAAACATATGAATATGTATACATTTTTGTGTGAACTAACTAGTCGAGCTAAGAGTGAAACGTCATATTTATTCATAGTGAAAAACTGTTCTTGGTACTGCGCACATTTATATGTAGCCAAATCAATTAAAACCACTCAGCAAACCTCCACAAAAATTTTATCATAGTTCCAAAATAAACTTCTAATCACTACACGTAACAGTGGTATCTATATGATCCCTACACTATATACGTCATAAACCTCATGATCTTGGAAAAATGGAGTAATTCCATTCTATTTTCACCAGTGTTGTATTCTATACCTCATATCCACTGTAATTCTTGCATATTATTTACACTATGCTTCATTGTTTTTAATGTATTTTAGAGGACTTTATAACAAAGCTAAGATTAAAGGAGTTCATCTTCATCGTATCTCATCCAAAAATTAACTTGTGGAATTTTAAGAAACGAAAGTGTTCCCTGGGATATATTTCTTTTACAACTGAATATTTCATGAAATGTAAATATCGATAGTGATTTTCTTAAATTTAAAAACAAATAAATCAGCTAAACAAGAATATGAACATGCAATTAAAAAACCGGAAGTTTAATATCCTAGTGCCTTTTAGCATCAAGTTGTTTTAACCTTTAATTAAAGTTTTCAGAAAATACTACCTCAAGAGACGGCCACCAATTTATATGACATCGGGTCTAACAACGTTCGAAATCTTAGCATTGCAAAATACACTGCATTATTTTATAATAATTATCAACACATGATACCTTATTTCAGGGATTACTGAACCCCAGTACATCACAAAATATTACACGAAATTCACCGAAAAGGATGTTTTCATGTTAAACATCGCCATTATTTTAAATGAACAGGTCGACATATTTAAAAGCTTTAAGTTAGTTTGGAATACAAAATGTTGATTATAACTATGAAATGAAATCTTCATCCATTTACAGATCAATTTAAACATTTTGAGTGAAATCTATTCATCGTTTATTTGTCTGTATATTATTTTTTCTTCCTGACAAAAATTTAATTTTGGCTACTTTAAATATCTTGAACAATATTGATAGTCTAATATAATATGCCAACAAATCGTCTTAATAAACAATAAATTCCTTCGTGGTTTCTTTCTTTTCTACCAATATAAACAAATCATTTCCACTTATATCGTTGATGTTAGAAAATACGATAATGATTCAAACGTCAAGAGCTATAGTTTCGTGAGAACTTAATAGTGATCAGATCCGAAGACAGTAAAAAAAGGTCTAAACCTCGCTTAACATCTTGGCAAACAAAATCCTACACTTTCACCCTGTAAATCAGTCCTGTCATGCACTTATCAACAACTGCCGTAAAACCATAATTTGCAGTACAAAAGGTCATTTCATATAACAAACATAATAAAAGATATGACACTCCCAACGTAAATTGAGTAATAATATTTATGATTTGAAAACACATAGAGAAGATACCAAGTAATTTAGTGCAATAAGACTAAAATTCCAGTTGAAAACTGCTGTATATGAGTAACACCTAAATGCACCTTTGTATATCTCTCAACGAATAAGATTCTCTGCCCAGCTATAGTGATGGTTTCTTATCTTATTGTTTTCTACGCAGTAAGCCTTGATAACAATTTGCGTCGGTATGGCGCTTTATGCATATTTTGAACAATGAATTTAAATAGTCTTCTACGGTAACCAAATAAAACTGGAGTAATATGCCAGTTTGAAGCGTGTAGTCTTTGCTTAAATAAGATATCTAAAAATACATATTGGGGCGTAAATGTATTGTATACTTAGAAGTTTCGACACATCGTGGCATATTTTATAAGCACGCATACTATTAAATTGCCTATTTTTTTACAATGGCACTGGTATGTACTGAGTTAAGCCTTCAACTATACGAAGACGGAAATCTTAAACTTATGAGTAAGCGTAATATTCTAGATTTCAGCACTTGCTTTAAAAAATTATCTTTATTGACTCAAAGTCTCCTACAATTACTTTAATATCTGCTTTATCTACAATTTCTGTAGCAATTTCTAGCGAGTTCGTTGCACTTACCTATTAAACCATTTACATTCTGCATCACGTGAGATTTACAGTTTCCGAACGAACTACCGCCTTCAGACAGAAAGCAAACAGTAGTATTTATAGAATACATCATTCAATATAACAACACCAGATGTAATGTCACACAGTGGGTTATTTAGTCAGAGCTTCCATCTAAGCTTCCCTCCCACCTCTGATGAGATTTAATTATGCAATCATCTTATTCAAGTCCGCAGATGAGACGGTGTGTCAAACAGTGACACCGGCCAATCCTAACTTATGGACGGTAGACATGAAAGCGAGTCATCAATTCTTGGAACCTGTTACCTGAAGCAATGATGTTCTCGCCTCCAATTGACTTATTTAAGAGAATACTAGACACTCATATAAGCATACTAGAAAAAGAATAACATGGGCTGTAGACCTTATGTCTTAACTACACAAATCTGAAATAAATTATGTACATGAACTATTTGGTTTCAGATTCACTTGATACACAGCTTTTTAGCACGGGATTCAAAAAAGCAAGAACCTGAGGACAAAATTTTCATAAACATCACCAAATGATCTTTATAAATAACAGTGATAGAGGCGTATTTCTTCAATACATTATCGAAGTGAATCTATATTCAGAAACTTCTGTTCCTACTTAGATGGTAGTCGAGCAGCTGTCAAAACAATATTTCAACGAAAGCTGGCGTTTAAAAAGAATACGCTGATGAATCAGTTGGCGTTACATCTCCATGATTTGGAAAAATGTGTAGCGGTAAATAAATCCCCAAAATAAATAGCACTAAGTTTTCGACATTGGATGCTGACCATATGTTTTAGTGGACTCATCTAGCTGAAGGCGCTCGGTCAGGCATCCGCACCAGATCACGTGTGGTAACGCCGTGCTCAACATCAACCACAATCGCTAGCCAGTTTAGATCAGAGAATTCCGATATATTGGTCATCGCCAAATATACTCTTCCAATCTCCTCGACTCTGTCTTTTGATTTCTCTGGGCGGGAACGAAATATATTAGAAGGTGTTACTGGTAGAAGCGTTGTCAAACACTGAATACCTGTGACATCATCAAATGTATTAAATACAGCATTCGTGACTTTCATTCGATGTGTAAAATGTTTAGAAGAAAATCATTTACCATACTCTTCGAATGATATTTTGTGAGCTCTTATCTGCTTTAAGAACACAAAAATATTGTTCAATATTTGATTTCGACCATCGGCATGCATACGAATGTACATTCTGGCACTTTAGTAATGTTTTTGAAAACATGCCGCTATCAACCTTATGAATAGATTTATTTTCAATATAGTTCAGCCTTTAAAAGCTTTAACAAGCAGTACAAGATCATTTCACGACATATATATTCAATAAATAACACACTAACCCCACATCATTACGTAAAATATTCAAAATAGTACACAACGTCGAGGTAATACATTATTCAATACAAACAAATTGTGGATCACATAATACATATTAGCCTAAGTGATATGTAATGACCTGATGATCTTCGAAATATCGTCAGAAAAAATGTTGTAAGTTGGAGAAGGCTCACTATACATTCTTGAAAAATTTTAGATAATGAAACTGTCTAGTTAGCTTATACTGGTAATTCAATTACTTAATTTCTTTCACTTTTAAATAACGCTAGCTTGTTTCCAGAAGTTGAATCAGCATAGTGTGAGAAAGTTTTCGATCCCAAGTGGCCACTGGTATATCCTCAGTGCCTTGTTTCATCACAATTTTTCCTAATATTAAACGCTCATGTCTTTCAGTGCCGTGTGAGCCACTTTTGTGAAAGAATTATTATTATCAGTTTGAGGTGACCACACAATTAGCGGAAAGTTTTTGGATTTTCCGATTATAGACCACCAATATGGGTGGTGAACGCACTTCAGTAGAACGGGAAATATGCGACATCTTACTCTTACATTGAATATGCATATCGTAGTTTGTGACTAGTTTGGATTACTCCGTAATGGTATCCATATAATTTGAATGTTTTGGTGACTGCAAAAAAACGAATGGAACTTTACCAGAATTATGAAGTTGCTTACAAGAGAGTACACACGAGAGGTATACAGAGCAAGAACACTGGAGAATGGACTATTCAATGGATTACAATTGATTAACACATTTTTGCTGTCCTTGAAAAATTTCGTTGACTAGTTCAGTGTTTAGTGAGCGATCATTTGACAAAAATATAGACGAACGATTTGTTTGAACATCAACATTACTGCACTGGCAGAGCAACTTCATTAGAAGTAGTAGTTGATCAGTTCGGAGACATCCATCATTTAATAGCTTCAAACTCAACTTTACAGCTTGTAACTCATCATGCTCAGCCAAGTGATATAAGATAGATAATAAGTCCTGCAAAACGAAACAAACTTACCTTGTGTTGTGTACTAAATTCTAACTCCAAACTGATTTTCTTAAACGGTTAAACAAACCTCACAGAATTTATGCTTTTTACCCCTCATGGAGGAACATAGGCTATCCACCGACTTTCTCCATCAAACCCTGTCCTGGAGAATCTATTCCGGTTGATTTTCATCCTTTCATGTCTGCCACCAGTTCTCAGCGCAATGTGTTAGTGGCCTTCCTTTTTTCCGTCTCCGTCCAAGATTTCGGATTTGTGGCTTACCTCGCGGTGGAGTTTGAGGATTTCCGTAACATCCATCAAACCTCTCATGCAAGTAATTTAAACCCATTGTGTAATTATGATTTTGAATATCACAAGTTGTAAGCGGATGACGAAAATCTACGAAATAAAATGAATTCATGCTATTCTGCTGAAATGTTTGCTCTTATTTTTTTCAAAATTATAAAGGGAACTATGTGTATGAGATTTCCGTAATATATGTCCTATCCACTTCTAATGTCCTTTCTTTATTTCCTCTACAGTTGGAAACTGGTTCGTCCTCTCTTACATTAATTTGGTGCTGACGGTTTCCGGTCAACAGACTTTGAGTATCTTGTGTAGAAAACTAGTTATAAATACTCGAACATATTTGATGATGGTTGTGGTAGTTCTGCACGTCCCAACTCTGTACAGTAAAACTGTCTTGACGTATGTGTTGGAGATCCTCACTTTGATATTGCTTTATTTTGAGTTCCATATATTCTTCAAATGTAGAATTATAGCCCTTGCTTTGCCAATCTTAGCCTTTATGTGTGCGTTGGATCTTTCTTGTTCATCGATGATGCCGTCTGCGTATGCGAGAGCATCCATTTCTTCTAGAGTTTCCCCATCAATAATTATTCGGTTTGTGTCCTCCATTTTGTATTTGAGGATCATGCTTTTCCCCTTGTGTATGCTAAGCACTACTACTGCTACACTAGCTATCTTCGTCTGCATTTGTTTGTGTGTATAGGATAGAAGCGCCAGGCCATCTGCGAAGTTCAAATCTTCTAATTGACTCCGAGCTGTTCAATGTATACCGTGCTTCCTCTGAGATGTGAAGGTCTTCACAATCCAGAAGATTGGGGGAGAGTAAGCAGTCTTGTTTGACGCCGATCCTTACTTGGAATGCGTTTGTCAGCTGTTCTCCATGCACGACTTTGCACTGTGGTCCGTCGTATGAGTTCCGGATAATGATGACGATCTTCTCAGGTACACCATGGTGTCGAAGACGTTACAATAATGTTCTGCTATCCACGCTGTTAAACGCCTTCTCATACTCAAGGACATTGATGTGTAGTGACGAGTCCCATTCAATTAATCGCTCGACGATGATCCGTAATGTCGCGATTTGGTCTGTGCACGATCGATCCTTATGGAATCCAGCCTGTTGGTCTAGAAGCTTGACGTTTATGAACCTTCCACCCGGTTCAATAGCACTGTTGGAAACGTTCCTGGTATTGATAGCAGTGTGATGCAATTTTAGTTCTTACAAGCTCTGAGATCTGCTTTCTTTTGTATCTCAACGAGCTGCTCATCTTTCCAATCTGTCGATGGCACTTCTTCCTCCCAAATCTTTCCAAACAGAACACAGAGCATGTTTGCAGTTGTCTGCGTTTCTGACTTTGGTGCTTCGGCTGGTATATTGTCAGGTCCTATCGCCTTCCCACACTTGATTTCTCTGATGGCCATCCTGATTTCCCCTATCGCTGGTAGAATGATATCTATAGGAAGACCTGTAGGTGTCGTCTCGATGTCCGGTGGATTCAATGAAGCTGACCTATCTAAGAGTTCCTCAAAGTGTTCTACTTATCTTTTCCTCTGTTCTTGAGTTTCAGTGACTGTCTGCCTCCTTTGTCTTTGACTAGTCTCTATGGTTTACTTTATTTCTGTTGTGACTTTATGGTCCGTTAATTATCACGTAATCTATTCGCCAATCAAAATACGAATTATTCGCTCATATACTGTACTAAACCAATGACGTTCGACTGGTCTGATCAGCCTAGCGTCACATTGAACCGTTGCTAGCCTAGCCAGTCTAGCTGAGTCCAGAATGTCAACAACAGCCTCCACTATGAAAATCATTTATTTCAGACAAACAGCAACGTACCATGAAATATCAAATAACATTCATACAAAATAAAGCCAAAAAGTGGCCGTGAAAGTGGGAAACAATAGGCAATAAACTGAATATAGCTTACGAACAGTACATCGTGCAATAGTAATATATAGATCAAAATAAAGCTTATAACGAGAAGAATATAGAAAAACATAATCTGAATATTTATACTATGAGAACATATAGATAGTATTAGTCCATTATTAGGTCTCAGAAGTTACTCGTACTTTAATCTTCACTAGGATATAACAATTTCCCTACCAGCTTCTTCGTTGTGTCATATAGTTGTTTGATATTCCATTTTCTGACAGCTTTTTATGCTGTCATTGCTAGATCTTCCACGTATTTCTGCTTCTTGGCTCCAAAGCACTTCTTCACTTCCTTGCTTGTTTCTGTGCATTCAGCTTGTGCCTTGACCTTATCTGTTCTTGTTCGACTGTTGTTAATTGCTGTCTTCTTGTTCTTCTTGTCTTGACTGTTGTCTGGGGTTTCGATAGAGATCCATTACTTATGATGATGCTTCTTGCTGTCAGGAACCTCTTGACTTGTTGAAGTCAGTGCTTCTTTGATCTCTTCCTAGTTGTTCTCCATACTAGTTCCTTCTTTCAGTAGATCTTGTAAGGCTCGGAACCTGTTGTTGAGAGCTATCTTGAATTCGTTGAGTTTGACAATATGTCGAAGTAAGGCTGTATTGAACCTTTATAATGCTATTTTTCCAGTTGTCCAGTGCTTTTTAAGCTTCAGATTCATCTTGGTAACCACCAGTTGGCTGTGATCTGACTCTAAGTCGGCTCCTCTCTTGGTTCTCACGTCTTCCGTTGATCTTCTGAATTTTTTTAATGATACAGAAATGATCGATCTGGCTCGTTATTGCGCGATACGGTGAGACCCATATAGCTTTGCGTATGTGTTTATGGGGGAATATGGTGCCATATATAACCATTTTACTGAATGCACTTAAGATTGTAAATTTGTCACCATCCTCGTTCGTTTCCGCTTATCCATGTCGTCTCATGATATCTTCATACGCGATGTTGTCCATTCCAACTTTGGCGCTCAGAATTATTATCAAGACTGTCAAATCCCTTCTTGGGAACTTCGCTATGACTAATTGCAGCCTCTCGTAAAACTGATCCGTAACGTCGTCATTGATATCATCGGTGGATGGATGACACTGGATAAAATCCATTGTGATTTCCTCGCTTTTCGTTTTGAAGGATGCTTTGATGATCCTGGATCCATGAAATTCCCATCTTATAAGGGTATTTCGTGCTTCTTTGGATAGCATTAGAGCAACTCTCTGGGTGTTTGAAGCATTTTCTTCTGCGTTATCGGAGTATAACAGCATCTATCCCGTACCTAACCTGTGCTGTTCAGCTTGAGTCCGATAGGTTTCGGTGATTCCGAGCTCTGCCGATTTATATCCCACTATTTAAGTTGCTATTTGACTGGTTCTCCCGGTCTCACACATTGTCCGGACATTCCATGTATCTATAAAAATTGTTGCTCCGGGTGTTAGAAGGGCATCACCCTCGTGAATTCCGAAAAATCTCGGCTTTCATCATGAGGCGTCATAATTCTTGTAAGTAAAAATCCTTCAACTCAAAGATCAAATTTTAAATGGTCTAATTTGTTGATTTGATTAGCGTTTTTTAGCAAGGCTGCTTTGTACGAGATTAGGTTGTCAAACCCATGCTCAACTCTCTTCTTTTATTCGAACTTGGGACTGCCAGTAATCCTAGAGTCGCTACAGGCGGAGTTAGGCGTCATAAAAATCAAGCAGAAATTATAGAAGTGAGCCTAAAAATCATGATGTAAAAAGCAAGAAATCGACTGATTAGCTGAACGACATTCTGTTCATTAGAACAGTGGATAATAACCAGGAAATCCCAGTGTAGGTAGCTTGCCCGTGCAATCACATAAGGTCATTTG